AGCTTTTAATGACTCTCAAAACATGCAAACACATTCCTTTCCCAAAGGCTTCAATTATTTATGATGTGATTATACCACTTCACCCTCACATAAAGCTTCTTGGCATTTTAATCTGGACAACATTGGTTTTTAGTTTTTAGATCTTTTCATGGCAGGCTTCTTGCTTCTGCTTTCCAGAAATTCATATACTGTAATTTGTCAAATAATGTTATTATATAGAATATATTTTACATATGGTAAAATCAGAGGGATATAGAGCAGGAACCAATGTGGTTTAATTTTCAATATTGGTACACTGGTTTCTTCAGAAAACATGCCTACAGTATCTGTGCAATTGTGGCACACCTTCACACCTACCTCTTCATAGGCAATCCAACTCAACCCTTCTTCTTTCATGCGTTTGGAGGAGTTTCTAGAGTCACAGACCTATCCACAAGCATTGCAAGTGTTTCACGTTAACATGGAGACAGAAGAAGACTTACGCTTGTTTTCTTCTTATTTCTAAGCGTTTATTGAGAAATGTATGAAATGTTTACTTGCCATTTCCAAGTACTTTACTTTAGTAGGTAAATTCATACAGTAGTAAAGTTTGAGTTTCTTGTAGAGTTTGGTTTCATTGTTTCACTGAATAATTCGTAAGCACACATGTACCATAACTCTATGTAACTGCGATTCTTATGCACTGGGTTATAATCCTCTGAAGCTGAAAAAGTTGAAAATACAGCAATCTTCAATTTTCCCTTTCAACATTAATATTGCCTCATGCCATGAGTAATCTATTGCTTTAAAAAGACTGTTCTGTTACCTGAGCCCTGCCACATACTAGCTGAATGGCAAAAAAAACAACTATGAGAACTGTGGTGTATGGGAGAAGTAATGTTTATCTCTGTCTTTTCATAAAACATCAGCTTTTTTTAAAGGTAGGAGTGTATCAGCCTGCAAGCTGCAAAGGAACAAGTCGAGATTATGTGCACAGAGGAAAGTACAAAGTACAATATTTTGTCTGTGGAGTCTTCTTAACATTTAGTAAGGTGAGGCAAATGGGTGGGGCAAGGAAGACAAAAGAATGAAAAGTGAGAATGGGTAGGCAGAAAGTGAGAAGGAAATCTGAGTGACAAACATCGTGCCAGAATTCACTACTCCATCCCTAATCAACACCTACAGTACATGTCACTCTGTGTAATCGCAGGATCCTTCTTCCGGTGTCCAGCTGGAACGTTCTAGATTGCTTTTCAGTCTGTACCTCTGTTAGAATGTTCCAGTGAGTTACGCAAATGCTCTGAGCTTTCACGATTTAGACTGTTGCACTACACCTGTAAGGATTTCCTTTTATTATTATCATTGCTGTTGTTGTTGTTGGTGGTGGTGGTGTTTGTTGTTTGTTTGCTTAATTGTTTTTTGGGATGTGAAAAAAAAAGCTGTGTAACTAGCCCTCAGGCTTAAGGGGAATCTTGTTTCAGAATCTTTACATTAGACTGTTTTAGGACATTAAGCCCAATTTCAGTGATTTAGTGCAATACACCAATGCTGTTGTGTTGCTTTGCTTCCAGAGGAACCTGTCACACTATAGGCCTAAGCGCTCGATAGCATTCTGTGTCTTTTTTTATGTCTTCAGAGCCACCCATGTGTGGTACAGTCCGGCAGTGGCAGGGAATAACCCTAATCCACCTGAGGCTTTTGGTCTTGCATAAGTGATCACGAGGTTCCAGGGAACACACTTAAACCAGCAGCACAGGGCCAGTGAGCAGGGGAGCTGCACAACCTGCTGAAGCACAGCTGCCCAGGTTGCCCAAGAGCACAGCCAGGGACACACAACAACACAAGCACACTCTCAAGAGGGCAGCTGCAGACTGGCTTAGCTGCCGCCGTAGCATCGACCTTCCTTACCAATATGCCTGATGTGCTGAGTTCCTCCAGGCTCTCTCCTGTGCGGTCTGGACACAGGAGAAAAGGGGCTGAGTTGTAGGAAATAGACTACACAGTGAAATGCTAAGGAACTGAAGGTTAACATAGCAGACCAGGGGACTTGCTTATAGAGAGAAAGAGAATAACAAGGTAAGTCTCTTTTTTCTCCCCTAATCTGCCAGAGGGACAGAAATGAATTGGGTCAAGTTGATTCCTAATCCTAATGCTAAGCCAGTGAAAGCAAGATAGCTGATGAACATGTACTCCCTGAAAAAATTGTCAAGGAATGGATTCCTTGTGTTGCTAGCCGGAACTGGTGGCATTTTTCAGTCGCACTGAAAATCTAAAACTGTATTTTACTGATTGATATATACTGATAACCCAAAGGCCAATGGAAAACACACATGGTGCAATGCACATTTAGTAAGTTATATATACTGAAACGTAAGAAATTAAAAATATTTCATTACAAATCCTGCTTATGTCCCAAAGTCCAAATGAATAAGGAGTGTATCACAGTTCAGTGTCTATATTTTGTTTAAATATTATGGAGGGGGTAAAACACTGGTACGTACTTCATGGTGAACATCAACACCAGCGTTACGGTATTTACTTAGTATGAAGTATTTATTTCGTATGAAATATTTAGTATATAGTATTTCTTTACTATGAAGGTTTTGTGGGGAGGCTGGTTGCATGTTTACTGAAAGCTCAAGTCCAGGTAGTCATGCATGATCAGGCACGTTCAGTTTTAGCATATTAAGTTAATATAATTTGTTGGGATGGGGGGAAAAGCAAAATCCTACAGGAACAGGACAGGAGATTGTAGAGTGCAATAGATTTCCTGCAGTACTTATTGTAGCCATATGTGATTTTAAACACATATTTTAAAAATGTAATGGAAGGTCTTTTTTTTTAAACTTGATATCACTGCTTACTCACTACAGAAAACCAATCGAATCTGTAATGAAGCTGTTTGGATAAAGATGAGATTCTTGGATTGATACATTACTTTAACTTTGAGATGATTGCTGTTTTAGGGTTCTGCTCAAAATAGTCCATTATACTAGCAATCAAATGAGTAGAGGAAGGCTGCTTCCATTTTTTACCTTTCCTGTGCCCTTGACTGAAAGGACCACAAGGTTTAGTAAACCAGGCTCCATCAGTTAGCAGGAACGTTTAAACTGCAAAGGACCATGAAGAGATTTCTTCACCATCGATTCCACCCCACCTTTAACGTGTTCATTTCAACAGTCATTTTTATACTTTGACAGAACACAGAAGAAAAAGGTCAACCAAAGAGATGCCAGAAAGGAGCACATTGTGGTATACAGTATGTCATGATTACTTCACTCACCACAACCTTGGAGAGCTTTCTGTGATACCTCTCAGTGTTCATTGATTCCGCTAAGAACGGAGTTGAACCTCAGCTCCCTTAAACTTTTCTTTACTTAATTGATGTGAAGTGACCTTCAAAGGCAGACATACTTAAACCCTTACAACAAGACATGTCTGATTAAGAAAGCGCAACAGCGCCTGTACTTCCTAAGACAGTTGAAGAAGGCTAAGATATCTAGTCTTTTACTCTGGCTGCTGATGGAGAGAATTTTTCTTGAAACAGAATTCATGTTTTATTGAGAATACAAATACAATCAAGTTTGTAACGTTCCCATGGTGGAGCTGAATTCTACTGTGCCCTGATCCGTAAACATTTGACTCCTGTGTTACTTAACAAGGCCGGACAGTTGATTTTGGGTTCAAGTGATTTTAATTCAGAAAGCAAGCAGGGGGTAAGTACTGTATGTGCAAAGTAGATAAGAAAGGCTGTGCTGGGACAGGCACTAGAGGATTAACATTTGCTGTGGGGTGAGTTAGTCACAGCTTAGACTAATGAGGCCAATCAGAAAGGTCAGGATCAAATACACCTCGATAAGATTCCGGTAGCCTTTCGCACTGTGAGGAAGGTAAGATTCTGAAGCTACAGTATTACCATCCGCCTGACTGCTGGATTATTTTCTGTCTCACAGGGAAGAGTAAAGACCATGGGATGTGGGATCTCATCCTCAGGCGATTACAGGTTGAAGAAGTCTGAAAGAGGTAATGTTGTGGTTATTGCTGCTTCTTTCTGATCTTACAAGGGATCTGTTTTCCTTTTCTCAATTCCATTTGTCTCCTTAAATACATCATCTCATAGAGGTTTCTGATAGCACCCCATAGCAATGGGAGGTCTTAGCTGTGCATCTTACATGTTTATGTATTTATGTGCTTAGCAGATACCCTTATTCTGATGATTACTGTATAAACAATATTATACTGTATATAGTATGGATATAATATAAACGATAGATCAGCTTGCTGTTTTCACACTCAGAAAAATAGTCTTTTTTATATATTTTTTTAAAATAATAATTGGAACCATATGAGAACTTTTTACAAACAATATTGTCCTGTAATAGGCCTTATACTGTATGCTGGTAATATATTGTAATGAGCTCAAACTAAACATACGTTCTTCTTTTGATGCACACTGCAGCAAGTATGTCAATCCCAGGTACAATCCAACATTATTTTTATTTTTATGTAGCAGAAATTAAAGCAACGAATGTCTGACAGTGCTAATTAAATGCTGTAGCAGTGCTGAATTATCTGAAGCTGCGTAGTTTTAGGCTTTAGACGTAGAGCCCTGTGAAGCAAAAAGGTCCAGAATTGCATTTTACGCAAAGCACACAGTGGCTTGTTGTGAAACACCGCAAAGTTTAAAAAACATCTCTTTGCTGATCAGCTCATTCTATCTGTTGTCCATTTCTGCATCCTTACGAGCAGCTGCTACAGGTAAGCTGCACTTTTTTCTCTTTGCTGTGAAGATGGATCAGTGCCATTCCACTGTGTCTGCTTATTCAAATATGTAACAGAGGGAGTCAACTCTCGGAGGACCACAAACCAGCAGGTTTTATAGGTCATCCTTTGATAATGAGTTTTGTAACACTTGTTTTATCCACGTAATGTGCGATTTTGGCTAATCTATGCCTTCAAAGTTAAGACACATAAATACACAGCATGTGAAATGAAAATACAGACACTCGGCACTTCTCAATGACCACAGCTGACACATGGAATGAAATCAATTCATTTAATGGAGTTTGTAATGAAAGTTCGGGTGAGATGACAACAACCAAGTTCAATCAGACTCGGCTGTTAGTGATGACCAATCACTCCCGATGCCATTTCCTCTCCTAAAACACTGTAAATACTGTACATGACCCCCTTCTCTCCCTCGCGTAATTCTTCTTGCATCCCTCTTCCACCCCATCTCCACCTCTGTAGCTTCCCCTTGGTCAGTCTGCAAGTGGGTCCAGGCCTCCTCGTCCTCAGGACAAGAGGTCAGCCCTCAGCCAAGCGGGATTAAGCCAAATTTTCAGTAAACACTCCACAATCCTTTCAGAATACTTTATTCTAAGGTGTTGTTATTACTAGTGAACCAAATAGATCAAAACTCACATGTTCCATGTTTTTACAATTCTGTGGTTTAAGGGGGGGCTGCTGGTTTGTGGTTCTCCTGGACCAGGACTTCCCACTATTATAAGATGAATTTAAGCTAAAGGAGCCTTTTTCATTTGTGTTGTCATTTTTTTTTTGCCGGAGCTGGTTATGTAGGTTTGTTCCTTAGCTCTTTCTCAAAAAGAAATATGTTCTCATTAAGCAATTGCTTATAATCCCAATTCTAATTTGTTGTAAATTCCTGTCACATTGGTTCTATGTTTATTTCATGTCTTCCAACTGCTCAGTTGCCTCCTTAAAAATTGATACAGAGCTTAGTGTTCCCCCAGGTGAGAAAGGCTTGTTTTCGGATGCGTTTCTGCTTTTGGAATTGAATGTTGGCTAAAGTTAAAAGACTCTGAACCTTACAACAAGGCAGACTAGATAATTGTGTGACCTGGTCTAATTTGTAGTCATGATCTCTGCAGCACTTTAGGGTTTAAAAAAAAACAAGGATGTGTATGATTACATAAGATAATTCATAGTCCTGAAAGAAATATCACAACAAGTGGAAAGCAGTCCTGAGATCTACTGTATATAATATGAAATACAATATGAAAGATTTCTATTAATTTAAAAACTGTTTATTGTCAATGCCCGAGTGATCTAAGTGTAAAGGTGCTTGTCTGAGCGCAGATTACTGTCTTTGTGGTATGAGCCTGGGTCTGACTATGACTGGGATTCTCTAGAGGCAGCACACAATTGACTGAGTGCTGCCATAGGATAGGATTCAATTGATCGGGTGGGGCTCTTTCACTTCTCAGACATGTGTGTACCCCAGGGGTCTCCCAGCCATCTGCTGTGCTGTCAGTGAGTGAGTGACGTGCCCCTGGGACAGGGCTGTGGTGTCTGTGATGTGTTAAAAGAAGAGTGCTTGGTGTTGGGCGGGTCAGAGAAGTCTGCCTGCACTTCCTCTTTCTCCCGTGTGCTGTCACAGGGTTCATAGCTGTAAGTCGAGACCTGAAAAAAAGATATGACTGCTGAGAATTAAAGCAATAATGAATGCTTCTAAATACTGTATAGATATAACATTAGTACAACTATTTTTATTTGAGAAAAATATCTGTAATCAAACAATGCAATGTTCCAAAATGTTGTGACAAATGTCCGGCTCAGTAAACTGGACCAGGAGTAACAGACAGACAATCTTCATTGTTTGACTTAGTATCTTTAACACGTTCATCACTTGCAGACAAAGCAGAGTCTCATGACTTGCTGGAGATCTTTGCAGACTGTTTGTGTGCTGTTTTCCTCAGCAATGAAAGCTGCTGTACTGATCCAGCGATGGTATCGCCAGTACGTTGCTCGCATGGAGGTGAGGCGGAGGTGCACCTGGACCATCTTCCAGTCCATAGAGTACGCAGGGGAACAGGACCAGATCAAGGTTTGGGCAGCACAAAGACCTTGGGCAGTTATCTGGGTTTCTCAACACATATCAAGTCAGGAACAGAGACTCTTTTCTTCTAATCAGAGTTGACAAGAGACCAGGAAGAGAGGTTTTAAAAAAATAATTTAATAGCTAAAGCTGGATGTGGGGGGTGGGGTGAATAACTGAATGTCTATTTTCCTTGGGAATTTTCAATATATGGTGCTCTATTTCCATACTTTTATCCTAAGACTGTAGAAAGCTAACTGTTGTGAAGTGACAGTCGGTGGACAGTTGTCAGGATGGGTCTGTGGCTGGAATCCTTATACCCAGGTTTACAAAACAAAAGTCAAAAGGAATCTTTGTTGAGTGTCCTTTAACAGTTGGAAAGTTAAATCGCATTGCTCTGTAATAAAAAAAATGAAACCTTCAGTTGAGCCATATCATGCACAGGCAATATTGACTTGGAGACACTTTATAGTATAAAAGACTGCCCTTTCACATTTTTTCTGTCTTCCATAGCTGTACAACTTCTTTGGATACCTTATGGACCACTTTACACCTGCTAGCAGTAGTGAAAGTAAGGCACTGTTCATACATTTAACCCGTTTTCCTTAACAGAAACCCCCTCATGACGTTTACTTTGACACATTATCATTGTGTTTTGTTTGCAGTTTCGGTTTTCTTTCAGCTTGCTTGCTTTCTGATGCGTTTGCCTTGCCGTGTTTTACCAAGTCTGCATCATGTCTTGCCATGATTATACCATCAGTGTCAGAAAACATGTCTGGGTGTGGCGGGGGGGGGAAGGGGTTGATGTGTTTCCAAAACTCCTTCTTGAGAAGAAATTGACCTTTCTTTGTCAGGGAATCTCATATCACATATTTTCACTGAGGACGAGGTTTGCAGAGAAGCCGAATGGGAGAGGATGCTTGAATACGAGACCATCGAATTGCCAGAAACCTACACTGGACCCCACCTGTCTTTCCCTCTCGCTGTTACTCAAGCATCTGCCTTAGTGGAAGCCTTCAGACGAAAGCAAGTAGGTACATCCCTTCCTCCTGGCTACTTAAGACTCAGGCACACTTCTGTTTGACCTTAGGTATAAACCTCCATGAGGAGGAGAAAATGAAATTGTCCTGAGTTATGGAGATTTTGTTTTAGACAGATACTGTAAATCGCAGACACTGCAGGAACATGATGGAGTAATGCAAAGCAGATACCAGCTGCATCTACCTGGGCTCTTATTTCACTTTGTTCTCAGTGTGTCACCTCTCTCTCTCTCAATTCATTCCATTTTAGAATGGAATAAATTCCATTATTATGTACTTTGCCTATTATTTGAATTAATATTTAATAATACAGATTATTAAAGACTTGCAGGGCGTAATACTAGAGTATATAGGTTGGTAAGTGCTATAGATTTCTTTTGAGTGTGACTAGGACACTATTGCTTGAGATGTTTCGAAACGTCAAACACAGTTTTAAAATAGTTTGCATTTCAGTGTTTTAGGTTATGAACAGTGGGCTAAGCAAAGGTTTTTAACACCAAGAGCACCAAGAACTGAAATCTGGTGCTTTTTTGAGGTCTTCTAATCCAAGCTGTCAATTACTCCTAGTAGCAGCTCCATGCTCGCTATGTTCTGCAGCTTCTTCATGAAACATGGAGACACCTCAAACTACTGCCAAACATCAACAGAGTCTCGACCTGCTACTGTAAGGAGATAACTATCTGTGGTGAGAACTCATCTATGTACATTTTCAATTGGGCTGAACAGACTGTGGATTCTTTCTCTACTCCTTCAGCCAAGAAATGATGGCAGTCATTGTGTTTTAGGACAACTGGGGTGAAAGTGACTTGGTGGTCACCATGGCTCCCAGACTTTCCTTACAAATTCCATTACATTACCACTATTAGGAAAAGTGTTATTTTTCTATCATTAAGTTTGCTATTACTTATGACAATATTTACTTCTGCACCTGCTATCATAGTGCTTTTTGTACTATTAAAGTACTTCCTGTACATTTTTGACGTTTATTTTCTTGTTCCTAGGAGACCTACATGGGAATCTGGAGGATTTACTGTTGATATTTTACAAGGTAGGAGCAACTTTTCACCACTCCTGTGCTTGATTCCTATAAACTGTTAATACCCAATAAGTATGCGGAAACCAAGGCCTGTGGGAAGTAAACACACAGTATGAGTGTTTTCTCTTCTTCCGGCTGTCCACAGAATGGGTTTCCTTCTGTGGAAAAGTCCTATGTCTTCAATGGGGACTATGTGGACCGAGGCAAGAACTCCATTGAGATTTTATTGATTTTGTTTGCGTTGTTGCTGGTGTATCCCAATGCTGTTCATCTGAACAGAGGAAATCATGAAGACTACATTGTCAACTTAAGGTACGTTCATACTGTATATTGACAAACATATTTAAAATCCTCATGTAAAATGGTGAAAAATATATGGTAATAATTTCCCCAATTTTCTTCCAGATATGGATTCACAAAGGAAGTAATGCAGAAATACAAGGTAGGCATGGACACTCAGCTTTACAGATCATGGCAAATGTGAAAAGAAACTTGAAGCAGGACCTTAAATATGTTTAGCTAGACACTTTAGACATTCACAATGAGAACAGCTGATTTTAACAAATGAAAAGAAACAATATTTTTCACATTTTAGTAGTAAAGTCCCTAATACTTTTTTTTGTCACTTTGTTTCCTTTTATTTGCATATATTTCTCTCCCCCCCCTCTTTTTTCATGACCTTTAAGGTGGTAGGCCTGAAAAAATCTTCCCATCAAAAAAAGCAAAAAATAAATAAATAGCAACATGGATTTTTCCTAAGGAAATCCTTTTATTATAACATTCAGCAAGGAAACCTTGGACTGGCATTGCGGTAGTCAAGTGTTCATCAATGCTAGTTGTTTCTGAGTTGCTCTCTCCTTTATTTGGCAGATATTCTTAACTTGGATGATGCTGTGACTTTGCAAATCGCTCTTCATATTGTAGCTCAGCATTGCACCTTTGTTTCTATAGTCAAACAGTGTAATAAGGTAGCTTATTAAAAATATCACACACCAGATCTGCAAAAGCCAAAAATGTGTGAGACTCTTATTCAGTTCTGTATAACTCATACAGTATACCCTAAAGAAAGCCTAATTCTGGTGCTAGTGGCCTATGGCCTATGGTCCTATTGACAGCAGTGGGGGATCTCTGAGCTGCAGTGCCAACAGACCTGGCTGGTCTCAGCAGCTGCTGAAGCAAGAGCTTCAGTTCCCTGTGTGTAACAAGGGCAGAAGCCTGAAAGCACACCTCTTGGAATGCGTTGTGTGTGTGTGCAAGGGAACTGAAGAATTATACCTGCGAGTAGCTGACTGCTGGAGTAAAATAAAAGATAAGATCACTTTATTGGCCACATATAATTTCTTGCATAAGGAATTTGTCTTTCTTTGCATACCGCAGCTTGCTCTCCATGAGACACACAGACAGGGAGAGAAGCTTGGGGTCAGAGTACAGGGTCAGCCATTGTACAGCACCACTGGCACAGCTGGGGTTAAGGCCGGCCTGCCACAGGATTTGAACTAGCAACCTTCCAGCCACAGGCGCAGATCCTTAGCCACAGAGCCACCACACTGCCCTGTATACTGACATAAGCTACTATACACTATTTACATTGCCATTCAAGCAAATTTGTGTTTGCAGACTAGGCTAAGTCAACTTTGTCATCTATAGTGTCTCCTTTAAATTAATAGTATTGTTTAAAAAAAGTTTACAGGATTAAAAAGGTTTAAAAGTAAAAAAAAAAAGGCTACTTCTAATTACAACAGACTTAAGGCTGAGAACTGCACCTGATCAAGGCTGAGCCAACAGAAAGGAAAAAAGCAGTCAGTCCTGTTGTGGCTATTTTTACACTTGACCTGGGTCACTCCTGCATGGATAACAAGATTAGTCGTCCTTACAACACAGTGACTGCTGGCTGTCAAGTCGACTCGACTCTCAGCATTGTTGTGGGTCACCAAGTAGTGAGGACCAATTACAGCAGTGGGCAAAGACAAATGCAAATCCCGCTGAAAGGAGATTACGGGCAGAATGCTTTCTTTACTGTGCATGTGTTGTTGTTTTAGACATTCATTTACTGCTCATTAGAATGACTGGGAATGCTCATGTTACAATTAGGCACCTTAACACAAAGTCTATAATATGAATCATTCCTTATTTAGTCTTTACATTATTTGATTACTTACTTCCACGATGCAAAGCAAGGAAAATGGGGTTTCTTTCTCTACAACAAAAGTATAGAACTTTAGTGTAACATTCACAATCAGAAGTGTAAGGTACTTTGCACAGAAAAAACGGTGCGCCAACTTTCCTGACTTTTTTGTTCGATTCTGTGTGAAATCCCAACCACACCACCATCCCTTGCAGTTAAAGGAGGCTCAAAATGAGAGCTAAATGTTGTCTTATTGTCACAAAATGCTATTTTCACAGCAGCCATTCAGATAGAAAGACCCTCAAAAAAATCAGAATGGAGAACAAGTGCAAACACTGCAAACAAGTTTGCTGTTGCTCTTTTCTTCCTTACAAATGAGAAATAACTAAGGACCAACATTTATTTTATCATCAATTATATGGTCAGCACACAACCCCTGTCTACCGTAGTGTGTTTTACAAAACATACAATAATACATAACGTTTCAACAAAAACAAAATCCTTTAAAATAGAATAAGAAAAAAAAGAAATAATTAATAATTAATAATTTCCCCACTTTGTTTCCTTCTGTGGAACTTTCAGAATTACACTGAAACAAAATGTGTGACCATTTCTGTTCTTTGGTAATATACTGTATACGATATATTTCTTTGAGAGCAGGTTCATGGCAAGAAGATTCTCAAGCTGCTGCAGACAGTGTTTAGCTGGTTGCCCTTGGCCACTGTGATTGACCGAAAGGTCTTAGTTACTCATGGAGGGATCTCACACACCACTGACCTCAAAATAATTGCCAAAGTGGACAGACACAAGGTAAGCATCTCTTCATTTGCAAATGATGGTGGAATTTTCCTACAAGGTGCACCTCGTGAAGTTTTTAAACACACATTCTGTCTCAGATGGATATATCTAACATACCAACTGAAATATCTTATGAACTTCAGGCTGTCATTAGTTGAATATGTTCAGGTGGGCAGCTGCGTCAGCATGCGTAGGCTGCAAAGGAACAAGTAATAGGTTTATTCTGTGCTGAAAAAAAAGAAGAAAGAGAACACAACGTTTCGGATGTGGAGCCTGAAGAAGGCTTTTTCTAAATTTTCTAAAATAATAAAAAAAGTGATTATAACAGGCCAGCTTAACTGAACTTCCAAAACCATAAAAGAATGAATTCCAGCATAATGATTTTAAAGCCCCAGTAGACTTTGCCACTTAACTATTGAAAGTAATTTCAAAGGTGAAAATCTGTCAACAAACTACCAAAGGTGTGGAAAGTTAAAATATCTTTTTTCTTGAAAGGATCGGCTTCAGAAGCTACCAGAGGTGGAAAAAACAAAACGTTGCGCAGCTAATGCAACTCATAATTTGTGTAAAATTATCTGTAAACTTTATTCATGCATATTCCATATATACATTTGAAATTATATATATATCAAATTCAAATTACAAAAAATATATAGAGGAATAACATCTTAGTAATAACAGTCCTATCTATAAGGTCAGAACAGACAAAACTCCTCTCAGATATGAGGAATGAACCAGGGAGGCAGCTCCAAAGGTGAAGATGGGGTGGAAGGAGGAGGGCATGAAAAAATGCCTGCAAAAGGGGACTCAAAAAGAAAAACATTTATCTGTAAGAGAGCAGAAATGTGAGATTACAATTTGGGTTACTTTAAACATCTGTTAAAATCCTTTTAAGTCTTTTTTTTATGCCATCATCATACAGTATATATGATATCCAAGAGCATGTTGAGGGAAACTATAAAGATTCCACCAAACAAAAATGTTATCATCACATTAAGCACTGAATAGTAGTAATCACGATTTCAGTAATTCAGGATCCAGTTGGAGGCATCTGTGTATTCTTAATGTTTAAATTAAGTTTTTTTTCAGGTACTTCCTTCGGCTTTATATAATTATTGCTCAGGTTTAACAGATGATACTTCTGGACTGTTTGGGTCTTAGAAGAACCATGAATTCCTTCCATAAATAGGGTTCTTGGCACAGAATTGTGGATTTTGCCAAATGTGCAAAATCCAGTGAAACAAGGCAACAGGATGCGATCCCTGAGACTAGACAGCATTTCACCTTGTGAGAAAGTTAACGTCTTCTGTGATGTGAAAAATGAATTCCAGGCATCCAAAAGAGCAAAAGGTCTTTACATTGTACCTGCCCTCAAATGGACATTTTAGTTCACTGATGTAAAACATTTTAGAGTTTTTTTGTGCAAAGTTTGTGATGAGAAAATGTTATCTTTTCCCACAGTACATTTCTGCATTGAGACCTCCCAAGGTGAAAAAGAGACGAAACATCCCTGAACCGCCACTCGTTGGAGGAGATCCCCTGAGAGACGTTTCCAGGCCGAAGGAGATCATTAGTTCTGGCCCGAGAAGAAGCTCCTTATCTTTTGACTCATGCTACAGGCCTGCCTCTGAACCCAGGAGAAGATCCCTGCACAGCATCTCCCAGAAGGTGTGGCGCTCTGTGGAGGAGGAGCTGGAAAAGTGCCGCAGACAGGTGGGCTTCAGCGAGCTCTTCGACGACTCCAAGCACTCCCTGTCTCCGTCGGACTCCGACTCGGAGTCCTTCGAGATCTGCGAGTCCGACGACATGGAATGGAAGCAGGTAAGGTCCCCCTGAAGTGTCTTTTTTTCTAAGTCACCTTTTCCCTCAAATCAATAATTTGCTTATGTCAAATAGTTTTTTTTATGGAGTTTGCAATGAAAAGGATAGGATAACAGCAACCAAGTTCAGCCAGGATGAAAGACTAAGGATGTAAGACTCAAATGTCAGCTTGAGTGTTTGTGTCGATGTTGGTGATCCCTAAATGCAGAAACTGCTAGGCCACCTAACAATTTAACTGGTGCTTGGACTCTTATTTCCTCATAAATGGGTCTGTTACAGTACATCTCTCAGATCAACCAGTGCTCCCACAGAACCAGACAAGACAGTTATCCTACATCATTTCCCATTTTATTGATTTCAGGCAGTAATACACCGTAAGGTCAAGCGGCCTGTGCATCTCCTGGTGTAAGAATGGGGAAAAACAACGTTCGGCTTTGTCCCTTCCTTCTCCGCAGATTGTAGATATCCTGTGGAGTGACCCCATGGCCCACGAGGGCTGTGTCCTGAACCACGTGCGGGGCGGCGGGTGTTACTTTGGCCCTGACGTCACAGAGGCGGTCTTGGCCAGACACAACCTGCAGCTGCTCATCCGCTCCCATGAGTGCAAGCAGGAGGGCTACGAGTTCTGCCACAGCCGCAAGGTACAGTAGGCCGGGGCTGAGCAGGGGACTCGCCTGGGAGAGGAGCAGGCCTGGGGAAGGGAGTGGTGGGACTCTGTAGTGTGGTGTTTCGTACCCAGTAAACAAGCGCAGGCTGAAAAGGAACAAGTAAAGTCTGTTCCACACCGAAAAGAGGAGAAAAGAAACACAACGTTTCGGCTCCGGAGCCTTCTTGGCCCACAGCCGAAATGTTTTTTGCTTCTTCTCTTCTCTTTTCAGCGTGGAACAGACTTGACTTGTTCCTTTGTAAATGTTGAATGGATTAAGTACATACGAAAACGGACGGACATTCAAACATGACGTAGACTGAACGTGCAAAGATGAAACGTTTAGCTAAAACTTGATTACCCACTGTCAGTATAACACCGTATTCAGCAGTTTTCTGCTGCTGCAATTTCACAGGTCTTGACCATCTTTTCTGCCTCTAACTACTATGAAGTGGGAAGCAACAGAGGGGCTTATGTCAGACTGGGTCCTGATCTGACCCCACACATTGTTCAGTACCAAGCCAGCCGAACAACTCGCAAACTTACCATGAGGCAAAGGTAAGAATTGTTCATTATCACTAAACGTGCCCTTAGGAAAACAAGCCACAATTTCTCCTAAAGCCTGTCAATGCTATAGACTCTTGACTTTCCAAAACTGCCCTCAAGCTGGAGAGAACTACTGTAACTAGCTATGAGCTGTAGGGCTGTAGCAATGAAATAAAAGCCTTCTACCTCTAATGGTTATAACCAGAAACTGCTGCTGGATTTTTGGTTTATCTGCTTGTGGTTTATAATGCTAATAATAGACTTTATTTTATATCGCAGCTTTGAAAATGGCTTCCCAAAGCTACATAGTGAGAGGATTTAGCAGAATTAAAACAGTTACACTGAGGGTTTGGAATACAGAAGGAAAGCACAGGGTCAGACACGGAAACCAGTTAAAAATCACAGAAAAGAAAATTGTTGAAGAAGAAAGAAGAAGTGCTCGTTCGTTGTTGTTGGCTTAAAGCAGTGTTTGCAGTACTAGTTCAAACTTACAGCCTGTGGATGGTAAAATAATACAGGGTTTTATATGTCTGGTGATAATGGCCCTTAGTTTAGGGATTGTAATGGTAATTAATGGATTGTAATTAATTAACTTTTGACTAAGGTTTAAGTGACCACCTTCCCAAGGACTTAAGTTTTCACAGCCCGTAGGATGACATGATAAAGCTGTGTGCAGACACATCTCCTGATTCCCTACAGAGTGAGCAGGATTGAGCGGTCCGCACTCCGGGCATTGAGAGAGCAGCTCTTCGCACACAAGTCAGACCTCCTGACTGCCTTCCAACAGCACGACAGGAGCAGCACAGGTACGACTCTATGAGATTTCTCAAGAGGGTGTATGAGCTCGAAGAAATACTGCAAAACCTGAAACAACAAATGTTCAAGTTTTCCCAATCTTTAAAGCAGAGAACCTTCATCAATTTTGCCTAATATAGAAACATTGCATGCAGTTTCACCACAATTAAATGAAGAACAGAGTGTTCAAGAACACAAAGCTTTTGGACCAACCACTCTTAAAAGCGTGAGAGTGGAAGACTTTTCTAATTCTATAGCCAGAGCTTTTGGAAAATCAGACGTTTAATTGAAGTGCTGTTGACTAAAGTTGTTCATTATTGTATACTTAAAAAAGTGATTACATTTTTAAAATATGGGTCTTAGGTTCTGATAAAATAATTTGCTGTTTTGAATGCAAAAAGGGGGAAATAATCATTCCACAGTTCTAAATACTTTTACAACGGCTTTAATTGTAAGATAAACCTACCTGACGATTACACTCCTGTAGATAAGAAGTTCAACTGCACTACAATTCAGCAAACCTGTGGACCTGTGCTGCCATCATGTGGCCGATTTCTAACATTGCAGCTGGGGACTAGACTGCCGAACAGCCAGAAAGCGGGGTTCAAATTCAACACCTGGAAAACAGGGATTGTAGTTCTGCCAGATCCACCTGCCTAAAATGAAAATGAAACACAACAGTGCAAATGCGTGAATGGTGGTTAGTAAATTTGGAGCTAGGGAAAGAGAAGAGGGAGGGAAAGGAATACTTTTGTGTGTCAAGAAGCTGGAGATGTGGCGAATTCCAGGCTGGGGTGTAGTAATACAGTAGGATCAGCCCCTCCGGTCAACAATTGAAATGATCTTGCAGCCTTACCTGAAGTCAACATTAAATTGGGATATTTGAACAGGATTCAGGTGTAGGGTGAGGACTTTCAAGTAAACATACACTTACAATTAACCCTACCTTTCTATTTTCACTGGGATTATATGTGTACTTCTCCTAACTTCAGAAGCAGGTATTGTTGAGGGATTCATTAACAAGGCCTACGAAAAGACAGAATGCCAGACAAAGCCCCAATCAATGTATAAACCTAAACGCACACCATTGCTGCCTAAATCAGTCCGGTTACTATGTAACTGTACTCTTACTGATGTGAAGGTTTCAAATAGGCAGCTCTAGGTAAAAAAGCCGCCTGATGTGGTTTGAAACTAAAACCTCAAACCATATCATTCCTGGACTGATTCTTGAATCATCACCCGACTCCAGCTGACCAGGTGGCTAAAGGCAGCGGGCCCCTTTCGTCTAAACACGCTGGTCCTAACGCAAAGGGGAGGAGAATTTGGAAATGAAATGAAATGTGTGTGGTGATTGAATGGACAGGCGGGCTCTGGAAGAGGTGGAGGCGGGGGAAAAAAGGCCGTCACCTGTCGTTGTGTGCACTCACAGGACGCATCGCGCTTAACGACTGGGCGACGGCGGTGGAGTCCGTGCTGCGCCTGGGCTTGCCGTGGCGGGTCCTGCGCCCCCAGCTCGTGGCCAGCGCCCCCGGGGGCTTCCTGCACTACCACAGCTGGTTCCAGGAGCTCGCCATCGAGCAGCCCGTCCGAGAGGTGCCCGGCCCCGCGGAGCAGGACTGGCGTGGAATAGCGTAGACTCGCGCGGCGCGTACTGCGCTCTTCGAAAAGACAGCCCCTGTTCACGGAGAACTGCAATCGCCCAGTGCCGGATTTCCCGTTAGGCACTGAAGGGCACAATGCCTAGGGCCTACGAAGGAGGGAAACGCTAGTGACTCACGAAAAGCGAGACGAAGCAACACGCTTGTGATCGTCTCTTGGTGCTCTAGATCAGTCATCACACGCTCTCTAGCGGCTGTTCCAGGAACGAGAAGTAGCGAAGTGATGGTCGCTCGACTCGCTCCATCAATCACGTGGTTTAGCATTAGACTAGTTTAACGTGCATCATGTCAATCGACGTCATTCGATTGGCGTTTACCCCTCTCTCTGCACATTTCGGAGTGAAAGTGCCTAGGACCTACGAACACCAAAATCCGGCCCTGCAATTGCCACGCAAGTGAGAATGGCAATTTCAGGGCCTAGGGCATAGTGTATGTGAGGGCACCAAATCAGATTCTCGGGGCTGAGTTGCCCTTTTAGGATGTTGGGCCCTTTTGATTTTTTCATTTGTAAAACCTTCCCGAAAGAGCAAGTTCTATACGTATCTTTTTGTTTTGACGCGGATGACAAATCAAAGCATTTCTAAAAAAAAAAATGTGGCATTATCTTGGAATGCAAATTTTAGACATCCTCAATTGTTTTAAAAGATAAATGATCCACAGTTGCCTCTTTTTTTTTTTTTGCTCCCCAGCACATACACCAGAGTCTGTTGGAGACTCTCTACAGGAACAGAGCCAATCTGGAGACCATTTTCCGCATTATTGACAGCGACAACTCAGGTGGGTTCAGAGACGAGAAGTTCACCACCGTCAGAAACAAAAAAAAAAGGAGGCGGTTTTTTTATTTTATTATTTTGTTTAGAGCGAAAACTGATGCAGGTCGTCCGCTCCCGCAGGCCTCATTTCATTCGAGGAGTTTCGGCAGACGTGGAAGCTGCTCAGCTCGCACTTGGAGATCGAGATCAGCGACCAGGCCATTTCAGACCTGGCGCTAAGCATCGACTTCAACAAGGACGGGAACATCGACATCAACGAATTCCTGGAGGCCTTCCGCCTTGTCGATCAGACCCACCACACCGAGCGGGAGGGCAGCCTCCTGCTGACCCTCCCCGCCTTTCCAGAAGTGGATTTGACGAGGACCACTGTGACCCATTGACCTTCACGCTGGGCCAGTTTTCTTCCAGGGGTTCAGAACACCTTCCACTAGGGCAGTTGTGAGAAGGGAGTGGGGTGTCTGCAGGTGTGCTTTACCCTGGCACGAGTGCTTTCACCATGGCACGAGTGCTTTACCTTGACACTAGTGCTTTCACCCTGGCACTAGTGTTTTTTTTTACTTCTATTGATGTTCCAGGGAAACGTCTGAGCCTATGCTAGGAGATAATAGTTCACCAGCAGCAAAAGAGAACGTCAGGCCCACAGAAATAAATATCAACAAGGCAACACTCAATGCAACTTGGAACTTTGCATTACTGGTTTCAGATTTAATAACTGGTGTGTTAAACCAACCACGCAATGTAGGTTTAAAAATGTTTTTTTGCGACTGCTAATTACAATTTTGTTATATGCAAAACACCTGGGCTAAGAATAATCGCAGCGCTCTCAAGGGGCCCGCCTTGCGTAGTTCATGTTCCATGAAGCTCTCAAATAATCACGTAGTGGAAAAAGAAGATTAATGCAGCATGTTACTATTCAACAGGTCAGCACAAATAATAAATAATTGGTACAACTCTCTACTGGCCTTTTGCCTCCCAAAAGGAAATTAAACCCTGTACTCTTGACAAATTCTGTATGTTGCCTGACCTACTATGGCACTGATCTCAGATGTGCGTGATGGCAATGTCAATGTAAGTAAATTTACTTTCTGCCTTATCTTTCTTCAGTACCGGATTTGTATCACAACCGATTGCTTATGGGCCAAAGAGAGCTAAACTAAACATGAACAGGAGCTACGATTTTAGTTACAGGCACCCATAGAAGAGAATTAGCGCTCAAGCATTTTTTTAGAGCTATATTTATAGCTTTTGGAGACACTGTTGAGCAAAAAGTGTAAAAAAAACAGCACGGACTTGTAATGCCTGTTGCAATTTGATAGCAGCTACGTTCTGATAGTGACTTACTCAGCCATTCTTACCATTCACAAATGTGCACCATTTTCTACTGTTGTATCCATTAGAAGTGACACATTTTAACTGTATAGGAGTGGCCGAGAAGATTTTATGTCTGGTGTCATTTTAATGTAACTCAGTGTGATGAGACAACACAGTTCTGCCTTTGTCTTGGTTTCAGACGGTAAGCTTTAATGAACTGTGGATTGACACTGTTGAAAAATAGTGTGGATATCTCCAGATATGACCAGGAATGCAACTGCCACTATACAGTAATTAAGGCCTGGTCTAAAGGGGTTTTTAATAAAGAATGCAGTTTTAATTCACCTTTTCTTCTTGGCTGCCAGTCCTTTTAAGCTTTTAAGAACTGCTCATATAGTGCCTTCCTATCTGGTTGAGAAACGACTTAATTTTAGCTGATGGTAAAAGCACGATAGTGCTTTAAGAAAGGATATTTGACCCAAACTTTTACTGAACCTGATCGTATTTGGTCTCCTTGGTTTTTCGAGCTTCTAAATTTGCCAGCGAAAGTAGAACACAGGAATGCGTTGCACGAGGCAGGCAGCAGGCAAGGCCACTGAATCGCCTCGGGAGATGTTCTGCAGTTTAGTTGGCCGAGAGTTCAAAGCAGGTGCTTCACTCCCAGAGCACGAAGAGCCAGGGGGCAGGTCTGGGGGGGGCTCCAGTATGAACCACACCCACAACTCTTTGTGTAAAGAAACGTTCTTAATTCTCCACCCGAAATGAATTCCCTGTTAAGTTTTCAATTGTGACTCCATGTCATGGACTCGCTGCTAAGTGGGGAACTATCCTCTGAGTCAACCCTATCTATACCCCTGTTTTTCACATCCTTGACATCAAAGCTGCTTTCAGTTTCCTTTGTTCTACACTGAAGATATTTATCTCCATTAACGTTTCAGTCAAAATGAGGGCTTTCTAGTGCGTTGTGAAGCTAAAACCCCCCTGGATTTATTTATTTTAGTGAGATGACATCCAGAAAGTAGCAAACACTTCACAATGTTATGTACGTCTAAAACAAATCGGTCTATTTTCAATTAAACAAATCGCTTTAGGAACCATATCTGAAACCAGTTCTAGCAGGAGTAAAAGAAAAAGGACAATGCTTGTAATATTTATCCTCTTTCATTGACACACAGACTGGGCCACAACTCCACCACAATTGCACCCTGGCTGGGGGAGTTCTGCAGCAAAGCCAGGGTGTATAGACTGTAACATCAGAAGCTGAAGTAGTCTCATGTTGCAGAAAAAATGCAAATCACATTTATATGAAACAGGTAACTCCTATAATACAAACAAGTCACTGATACAATTATAAAATCTGCAGTACTGCTTTCAAAACGATATCCAAATGATCAATGACGCATGACGTTATTTATAAACCTTTTAATCCATTACATGAAATCAGTTTACAACTTATGCCTCAATACAAAGCAATTCCAAAAGTAAAAAATATGTTTTTTGCATATTTACTTACAATGACAGGTGAAAGCCTTTAAATGCCTGGTCTGTCAAAATGAAATATTCATTTTGTGTGGAAGGGTGGAAGCATGGATTTTGCTCTATAAACCATATTGACAAGTCACCAGTATCAGTTACTATGGGTATCGGGAATGGAGTGGCAAGTAATATATCGGAGCCTGGGACTTTCAACAGCAAGACAAGTAGTGCGCATGCCCTGCTGGCCTAGGTCCCAGGTCCCCAGGTCTGCAGATGTTTTGATGACAGCCGGCAGAAGACAAGAGCAATATCGTCAGCTCAGTACTCCTCCTCTGAGGTGTACGCCATCGTGAAGCCCATGTTCGATCAGCTTGATGTCTTCCAGATCATCTTTAATGACGCTGATCAAATGACTAATTCCTTCCTGCTGCTGCTTCAGATGCTGGTAAAAAAACAAACAAACAAAAAGCACCATCAGAAACTCTTTAAGCATGAGGTGAAACATACACGGAAAAGGCAAGGATTTGAATATTTTTAGTTTAACTGAATTTGGATCGGAATCTGCTCGAAGAGCAAGTCCATTCTCACTAGCTGCTACATAAAAACATTTGCTAATTCTTGCTGTAATTAACAGTAATAATTTAAGCTGAAATGAGAGCCAAATGCAGACAGTTTTGCAACCATTACTGACCTGTTTTTAAACATTCTAGACTCAAGTACAGACATATTTTAACTGAGAAAACAGACATTTTCAAAAAACATACTGTGGTATTTTTGCATAAATGCATCCAACCAGTCCTGCATGCACATATAAAGTAAATGATATCTCATGAAAAAGATTTTGCACAAAATGCAGTTATTTATGCTCTTTAGATCTAATGACAAATCTGCAAATAGAAAGCAAAGTTGTGAACAAGATCTATCCCTTTCCCCAAAAATAAAATTCAGTATTTTACTAAGACTTACCTAATTAAAGGTTATATTAAACTCAAACAATTCTAAGTCATTTCTCTTCAGCCAGCGTTGAGGCATGACTGACCTCAAGATCGGCACAATTGTACTAAGCCTGTAACACCGATACAATCGCCCCGCTCCAGTTGCAGTGGTCCCAGACAGCGCGAGACTAACCTGCTTAATTTCTCGCAGGAGGTCAGTGTCCACGCTATAGCGCTCCTCTGAGCGGACCGCTCCAAAGTGATTCTGCATCCTGATCTGGGACATGAGCTCATTCAGACGACCCTGAAGGCAACAGATGGCAGGGTTACCCCCTGTAGGGAAGCCGCGCCCCAAGAAAACACTGCCGAAAGAAGTCCGAGCGAGGGCTGTACCACATGACATTACTGTGCGATATTACAGTAAACGCGGTTTTCCAAGGGAAAAAAAAGGACTCATTTAAAAAAACTCGACAAGTAAACCAGAGCGTTAATTCATCTGATCAAAAATGAAAAACGTTTGATCTTATGTGGTTTCCATTCTTTTTCTAGATTGTAAATCTGGCATTCGTTGAGGTAGCCAACCCCGACTTTATTTACCAGAAATACTAAATCAGTGTGCAAGTTTACAGTACTTCAAATGTTTTATGTCTCTTCATGTACTTTACTGTTTAATACACGCTGTATTGCTAACCTACTATGCAAACTAGGACATTTAAAAAAAAACGGATTTAGGTTGCAGTGGAATTTGCTAAATCTTATCCACAATAAATATGCCGCTTCAGACAAGACTCAAGACCCCCGGGAAAATTAAAGTGGGATGCCGGGCTTTGCATTTAAACAGACCGACGCATATATGAAAAGAAATGGGAGCCAACTGGCACAGAACCCGTGAGCATCTCGCGAAGAGATAACCAATGGAGAAAAATAAAGGGGAAGGACCTTGAACTGAGTCGGGGCGTTGAGCTCGGACTGAATGGTGTCCAGCTGCACTCGCAGGTGCTCTTCATCCACCTGAATGGCATATCCACTCTTCCTCTGAATCTCCTGCTTGATCAGGACCTGCAAGAGCCCAGCCACACTGTGTACTATGTTCGCTGCAACACTTCGTAAACCAGTCACACGTGGCAGCTCTTTTTTTTTTTGCCGCAGACAACTTTTTTCTCAAAGCGTTTCAATTTGTATCCGAATCCTTTACATCATTTCAGAATCCTTCTACAGAATTTCAGGATCTTTTGTAGACCTTCCTGCCCCTTTAAGAGCATAAAACGTTAACTGGGTTCTCAGTCCGCGTACATGCATTGCCAGATAGATGCACGGAAATAATATCTTCTATGAGGCATTTTACAAAAAGCCTTCAAAAAAATCAAAAGACGCCATTACCATATGCTCACTGTGTCCATTACTTGTTCAAAAAGAACTATCATTTATAACCCATTACTCTTCTGATCATTCTCTAGTTTAGATCTATTTTATTTTTTTATAACATTAAGTAAGAATTACTGGTTTATAATTAGTTTGGTTTTGTCCATCTTTTTACGGATGGCTGTTACACCTGTCTCTGTGACTGCTGGAATTCAGAATTGGGGGCTGCCAAAAAGAGGTCCAACCTTGTACTTCCAAACATCAATTAACTTTCGTCTCAATGCGATTTCTCTCAGAACACATCCTACCTGTAACACCCTGTGAGACAAGTCCATCAGCTTCCTCTTGTACTGCGCTATCTTTGCCACAGTTGTTGCCTGGTTCTTTTGCAATTCACTTATGTCGTCTGAAATGATCTGTCAATAACACAAACACACACAGCTTGAAATTAGATGAATTAAGGTTTGCAGTCTGTTCTTTGGTTCGAGCAGCAGATCTCCATGCAATTTTGCATTTTCTGAATTCTAAAATCATGCTGTAACTGCTTGCTCTAGATCAGAAAGCTCACAAGAAACCAAATGAGGCTGCTAGCTTGCACATAAAGAAAAATACGACCCAGTGAAGAGGCCACTCACATCCACTCTGGTCTGGTGCTGCTTTGTCATCTGCTCCTGGATTTTCAGCCTTCTGATCAGCTCTTTAAAACCAACCATTGGCACTGGAATGAGTCTTCAACAGAAGAAAACACATCCTCTTACAAATGCACTGAAATCTCTAAGGCAAGATCATGGTGTGTCCCATCTACTGAGATAAGGAATTGACTTTTTATTTATAGTATCAGTTAATGACTTTAGGAATGATACTCCCATAATTTACCAGGTATGCATTTGTTTTCACACTTAGGTGCCTTTCTGTGCTGTATTAAGGAGAAGTTCGGTTGTTTGAGGGAACATTTTTGCATTCTCTTACCAATCGGTAATGATCACATGGGAAGCAATGAGAGTTTAATTTCCATTATACGAGTTTTCACCTTGCAAACAGTTTTTCGAGGAACGGAATTAAACCCGGATAACGAGGTACTGCTGAACAAAGGGCCGAGTGCAGAGACATTCAAAAAAGCACGGACATACTTTTCTGGATCAGGATTGTCAACTTTTGCCTGTTCCCAAATGATAGGATCCACACCTGAAAGAGAGATTTGGATCCATATCACACATCGGGTCCACATCCAGGCATTAAAGGTGACCCCCAACCCCCCCATCCCGGCAGACACAGAAAACAGGGGAAGGGCTGGGTTTCCGCGAGAGGGCGGGCCAAGCAGCCTACCGGCGGGGGGGTTCTGCAGGAGCTGCTTGAGCTGCGCGGGCGACAGCTCCGTCCGCGCCACCGTCAGCACCACGCTCAGCTGCTGCAGCTGGCCCTTGACGTGGGGCTGCTCCAAGTAGCCGAACAGGGCCGTGGCCGGAATCCTCTTCGAGGTGCCGTTGGGGGAGCGCTCCACCACATAGACGATCACTTCTGTCCTGGGAAAAACAAGAGGACTGGCTTCAGCACTCTGCTCTCCTCCCCACTGAGAGCTGGTGGGTGGTGAGCGTTCTGGCGCACTATGGCTGCCGTCCCATCATCCAGGTGGGGCTGCACACTGGTGGTGGTGGAGGGGATCCCCATTACCTGTAAACCTCTTTGAGTGGAGTGTCCAGAAAAGCGCTATATAAGTGTAAGCAATGATGATGATTATTATTATTATTATCATCATTATAAACAGTAAGACTTGCATCTACTATTTGTTAGCTGTTACCGTTGATAGATTGTTGAATCTTTAAGCACAGAACCCTCAAAAGCTTTTAGGCTGTGCTCACGTCAAATACATTTGAATTTAGAATTACAAAGCAAAATGCAGGAAATGTATCATGTGAAGGGAGAGGAAACGGTATTTCTGTGTCAGTGTGCACAAAAAGAGCATGTAAAGAGATACAGGAATGCCAAACAAAATGAAAAACAACTGCAGGACGGGACACAAGCTGTAGCCACCAGAGTTATCCATTTATGAAGAGAGTCGTGTTGCTGGTGATGAGGTAGCAGCACTATTTCATTTTATATGTATATTGCTGCGATGCAAAAAAATCTTCTCAAAACGCAAAATGATCTCATTTAAACAAATGTTGTTGTTTTTTTCTCTGTGGCACTAATAGGCATACTTTAATAATATGTAAAACTTTTAAAATACACTGTGTGGGGGGAAAAAAAAACAACAACTGAATTCTGATTGCCCTCCACTTCTTTTAAACTAGTGATGGTCTCTATCAACCATGAATTATTATTAATGATCAGAGTCACCGTAACCTATCACGTTTTACATTGTTTTCATACATGAAGAATATATCAGTGCTCTTCCAAGAAAGCAGAAATAGAAGATTGTTGCTGGCAATCACTGAATAAACCAGAAGAGGTAAATGACACCAGTTCTAGTGAACAACATGAAATATGGAAATATACTGCCTGCTTTGTTCTCCAAATGTCACAAGAGGACAGATTCTGGCGACTGCAGGGCTCACAGATATACTCACTGGTCATCCGGCAGCGCCTTGACTCCCTCCACATTGACGGTCAGCGTCTGATTTCCTCCCAGCAGCTTGTGCAGCGACTCCACTAGCTGCTGCTGTTGGTTCCGGACATCGACTTCCTTCTTGTCGAAGGCCAGGACCACCAGTCCATCTTCATCCTTACTGGCAGAGATACAGCTATACCCTACAGCCTGTCGGCGAGACACAGCCAAAGAGATAATCCACCGGGATACCTTAAAAAGAAACCCAGTGCAGCAAGAGAGCAATGGAGCCACAGTCATATCTTAGGTCCCAAGAGCAGAAAGATCTCTTGTCCTCTTGTCTTTTACAAGCTTGAGCTGTTTTTGTTAGACAAGAGAGAAATACATGACCGTAGCCATCTGAATTTTTTGATGTGTACAGTGCGTATTGAAGTCGAATGTCTTCATCAATACTAATGTTAGTCCAGAACAAAACATGGTCAAGGGAAGCAGAATTTCAGATGACGACTATTGACAGATTACAGTGTTCAGCTTTCTTTCTGCTGAATAACCGAACTAGAATATGCTGCTGTACACTGCACTACATATTGTGCAATTTTTGGCCCTTCATTACAGGTTTTAAAGAAAGAAGCAAAAATCGGTCACAATGTTTAAAATATATTTAAAAAAACCGATTTACATAATGTACAAGCACATCATAAGTAATGTTCTATTCTAATATTCAAATTCTATTCCATTTTATATTCTAATATTTAAAGTTAAAATAAAAGCTTCAGGGCCAGGTTACCTTCTCTTAATGTAAACAATAGAATTTTTTTGAATATATTTGTATCATCCTATTTTATCACTGCATTCCAGTGCAGAATCTGTGTGATCCTGTCAGAAACTCTCAGCTATCGCAGCTCAATGTGAGTGAAAACACCCTTTACCAGCCGAGGTGCACTTCGCTGTGAGCGCACACAGAATTTCCATAAGACGCAAACAAAACAGACAAATGGAAAGGTAGGACAGTTATAACAAGGAAGGTAACTCTTGCCTTAAATCTGCAGAATGGGTTCTCCTGCGTGAATTCGACGGGGGGGATGTTATTGTTGAAGTACCCTTTGCCTGTGCCCCAGAAAGCCTGCAACTGGTTCCATTTAGCAAGGATGGCATCTCTCTCATCTCCCAGAAGCGTGGGCGCAGAGAGGGCACTGGCGGTGTTAATGAGCTGGTTGGACTGGGAAGGGGGCTGGGCCAGCTGTCCAAACAGGCCTCCCAAACCTAAATGTGCAGAACATCTCATCAACCAACATTCACATACCCCCCCCAACGTCTTCCCTCCTCCCTTAGTCCCGATGACACAAAATTAGCCACTGCAGATATGGTGCCAATTTCAACATGAAAGCACTTCCACCAGACGACAACCTTAATCAAGAACGGACTAAATGTTTTCATCACGGTTGATTAAAATCCACAGCAGTTCGTCAGTGCCTCATATACCAAATTCAAGTTCAATGTTTATTTATCAAATGCCTATCAGTACAGCGTACAGCAGTAATTGCAGGCAATGAAATGTTTCTTCTGCAAACTCACCAGAGAAAACAGAATAAAAATGACACAAGTTAAGTTACAACATAAAATTATATAACAAAGAAGACAAAAATTGAATAAAATAAAAGAGAATAAAATTAACTCAATATGAATAGAACTGCTATGTGTCCAAGGTGCAGTTGTAATAAGTACAATGGACTCATCTCCCTGTTTACCAACGGAAGGTCCTAACCCCCTCCTGGGACTTACCCTGCTGCTGCGGCTGGGTGTTGAAGCCCCCGAACCCCAGACCTGTCCCCAAGCCGGTGCCAAGACCACCAGTGGCGACAGTGCCTGCACCGAACCCTGAAGAAAACCCAAAGCCCTTATTCTGCGTGTTACCGAAGAGGCCACCTGTGAAAACAAAGCAGACACCTTATTAAGGCCATATTTCTCATCAAGGCACAGTGCTCTTACCACTCTGCTTGGAACAAAAGAAGTCCATCCATTATCTACAGGTTACCAGGTTGCTGGCTTTATACTGACATATGCGCAATGGGACCAAAGGATAAATCAAAATCTGAAATGCATTTCAATAAAGTGTCAGCTTAGCTAGGGTTTACCCTAGCTTACAGCAACATTATCCTTATTATAACGCACACAGACTCATTATTAGATTGAAAATTAATAAATGTGTTGGAATGTCTGTTACCTAGTGGCACATAAACCCACAAACAGAATGGTTTCACGCCATTCCGTTACTGTACATATACTGTACAGGAAGACAAGGAACATCCCCTTCGTTTTCCTCAGTTCCACCACATTTGTTTAGGACAGAAAGTCAGCTGTGCTCAATGGTCAGGTCAGCAGAGGATTTAGCAGGAAGAACTACACGGTTTAAAGGGAAAAGTCTGCAGGCTTTTCCAGTTTTGAAAACTGGAATAAAAGTACGAGTCTCCTCTGGTTTCCTCCCACAGTACAAAGGCATACTGTGAGGATGAGTGGGAAAACAATCTGGGAAAACTGGCACTGGTGTGAGTGTGTGCCTTGCAACGGACTAGCGTCCCATCCAGGGTGTACCCTGCCTCTCGCCCGTTGCTTGCTGGGACAGGCTCTGGCTCCCCCTGGACAATGAATTGGATGCAGCAGTAAGAAAGTGGATGGACAATTCTCAGAATGTGAAAATGCAAGACCACAAAGCAAGTCAAAGACAGAAGGAAGTGCATAAGCACAAAACTAAGGGGTCAGAGGTCCGGGTATTTTTGTGCACCATTCCAGCAGCATCTCTTTGTGCCCATAGACAAGTGCATTCTCATGTTATCAGGATATTAAGAGGAAACAGGCACAAGGTCTGACCTGTGTTCACAGGAGCCGCAAAGCTGAAAGTGGGCCCAGCTGCAGCAGAGGTAGTGGTTGTCCCAAAACCACCAAAAGCACCTGCGTAACATAAACCACGCGAGGTTAGGACAGGCGGCCTTTATGGGGTGCTGTGAAACAGACAAAAATGCAAGTGATTCCATTCCATCTAGAGGGATCTACGATGACCGACAGGTAAAGCAAAAACAAGCAACACAGTGAAAAGATGTTCCATGATTCACAACACAGGTAACAAATGAGAGCACTTCACTTCTGTGAGACACAGCGGTTTCACCACATCGCTCCTTTAAAATAATCAAGTAAGCCATCAGCAGCTCCTCAAACTATGATCGTCAAAGAACATGTTGGGTCATGGGACATTAACCAGGGTAACATCCTAAAGGTCATGCAGAGAGTGGACACTCATGCCAGAATACAAAATTTCAGAAAAAGGCGTCCGCAAGACGCAGCATTCGTAGTCTCAGACATGAGAAAACAGTCCCAGGAGGCAAATGTCGGCAACAAAGAGTTAAAATTGCTGAGCCACTACTTATTTTTCAGTGCGGAACTTAAATCAAAAACTAAATGAAAGATGCAATGAGAATATCCAGAGTGCCTATCCTAACACCCCTTACTAAAACACCTTTTCAATTTAAAATACCGTGGTGTGGACTTAAAAGTGGGGTGAGAGAAGCTATGGACACCAACACCAATTTGAAACAAGCAACCAAACAAAAATGACGCAGACCTACGGACGAAAAGGGGGAAAAAAAATGGCTTGTGGAGTTTCTTTTTTTTTAAAAAAAACACAGAACGTATTGATCAAAGTATCTACCTGCACTAGCAAGGCTATTACCAAAATTGAAAACAGTAGCAGTGGTCGCGGAGGCACCAAAACTCCCAATATTAAAGCTGACCGCTGCCGCGTTAGCATTTAATCCGAAACCCCCAAAATTAAACCCACCAGTGGTGGGGTTGGCAGCTCCCAGCCCACCAAATCCTGCAAAGAGGGAAGAAGCAGCGAGAAAAGCAAGGCAGAAGAAGGTTAGAGCAGAGGCAGAGGGCACACAGGGTGTGCGACAGCAGAGGAACAAGTGCATGTCAACACAAGCGTAAGAACGGGTTTGCTTCAGAGGATGTGGATGCTCCCGTTGGGAGGTGGTGGGAGTTTTCGTTCCGTGTTCCTTCCCCCCCAGTTTTCAAAACGTCACCATTTCCTCAGGCGTTTTGAGAGAGGAAGCCGAGAAATGCTCCGACGCCGCAGTGAAACATGGTCCAAACGGAGGCGGTCCCCCTCCTTGCTCAACGTGCCAACGCCACAGGCTTGGGAACGCGGGTGGAGGTCCTGGCTGCCAAGCCTGCGTCACGCCATCGGCTGGCGGGAAACCCCGGGGGGGGACCAGCTACCTTGGCAGAACACGGGGGAGTTCCCCGGCTTGCCATCCGCCAGCTACGTCCCGGCTTGCGGCCCGCCAGCCACCCGAGAGCGCGCGCGCACGGAGGCCACCGCGCGCCAGGAGGCCGCCAGCTCCGCGTTCACATGCTTCCACGTTGGTCCCTTGGCAGTACAGGGCTGCAGTGGTAAACCAGCTTAGCTAATGAGTGGTGAAACTAATGGAGAGGGTAGAGCAGTAATTTAAACTGTCCATCTTATCTGGTTTACCCTGAAGTAATGTCTGCTAATTTGGAAAAATGACACTGTAATCACCTGTGCTGTATTCAGTTTCATGAACTCTTCCTACAATGTCCTAGGCTCTGCAAGCTTGGGTTGTGATCGAATTTAGTACATTTTACTTCATTATTCCAACTACTGCTAATTAGCCTGGCACATACACAAAATACTCCAAAACTGTGAGAGGCAGGAAATGAACCCAAGAAATATGGCGATAACCTACGTTTACAATATTCACATGTTTTCACAAACCAGGGATTTTATAACGTTAGTGCAAATGCACACTGCATTTCAAAACAGGTTTCAAGCGAGTGTGATTATTTAAATATAGTGGTCATCAATGCACGGTAATACACGGGCTGAATTTAGTTTACACAAGAAAAGTCCTTTCAAAATGTTTTATCTGTATGAACTCAAGTAAAATACTGGATGACTTGTATAGTTTTTGGCACCGCTAGAGAACCCCTTAAATTATAATACGTAATGTTCCCAGCATTTTGAACTAACCTGTTTGCACACTGCGCAACGCACTAAGCAACTATAGTGTAAGGTTCCACACACCTTTTACTGAAAAAAGGCACCTTTAAACTCAAGCTCAACCAAGTTAATCTTAAGGATAAAGTGTTCCCCTGGTGTTTCACTTAGTGATTTGTCTTGGGGGTTTCTCCTTGTGGGCAGAAGAGTCTAGGGCTAACACAAACCTGTATTGGCCGCCCCAAAGCCAAAGCCTGTCGATGAAGCTGTTGTTGTGGTCGTCCCAAACCCTGGAGCAGCAAGACCTACGAAAACACAGCAGGCTGATTATTCAGTCAACCAGAATCGAGCTGCCCAGTTCTGAAAACTGAGTCTCCAATCCTCCACTGCACCTTGGAGGGAAAAAATAAAGCAAAGCTGAATTTTATCCTGCATTAACAGAGAAAACGAAACTCCGCTACAAGGTTACAAAATCGTTAATATCAGTTATACTCTCCCACCTGGCCTACAAAATAATAAATCGCAACAAAATGTAAAATAATCGGCAGGTACAGCAATTACTCGACCAGAAAAATTAGTTGCAGTTCGCATTAGATAATGGTGCTGCATGTCACATCCAATTAAATAAATCTTACACAGCGCAGCCTGAGAAACCAAGGTACTGTATATCTCTGACAGCCGTGTCACTATCCTGTAGCCTGGTCACTTCAGATCTTACAATTTAACAAACATTAAGGACTGTTCTGTCAGTACTAGGATGAAAGACGTCCAAGAAAAACAAGGTTTCCACCTTCATTGATGTTGGTGGTCCAGAAAGAGACACTTCATCCCACTTGACCTGACTTTCCAAACCAGTAGGTGTCTGGTCTATCTTTGCAACGCACTGCACATTGTGGCAGATTCTAGCACGTGGAGCGCATGTATTCAGGTGGTCCAAAGAAAAAGTCTACAAGGCTTTCTTTACAAAGATTACAAACGAGAGGGAGCCGTTTCAGTCATGGAATGAGCAGAAAAACACTGCTCTGTATCAAAACCTGAGCATGTGAAGACCGCTAAATTATAGCAGGTATTGTGCAGCCTTTTTGTAATGTAAGCTAGAGATGCCCCAGAGAGCTCTAAATCTCTAACAGAAGACTTAACTGATCTCTATGGCTGAGAAAACGATGCCCTGAAAAATGCCAAGGGACATATTTGCACGACTTCGACAGATCTGGCTCGTTACCAGTAGGTGAGTGAGTACACTGAGGGCTACTGTTTTTCTTTTTCCCAAGGGAATCGCACTGACCCCAAGGCGCTTTACTTCCTTTAACAGCAATAGATTTATGAACAGAATCACATTCAAGATCTACTTTCTTGCCAAGTGTTTTTTTTTTTTAATTCCAGCAATAACGCCTTCTTCCCATGAAACAAGAAGGCCTTTTAGTGAATACCTCCCTGCTTCTAATTCTCTGTTCACCCAGAAATGGTCTCTGTTCCCTAAATCCCACTTAATTAGACTTCAGTTTTGCCAGAGCTGTTATTGTCTATTTTTTATTCACATCAAGCCACTTGTATGAAGGCACCAGTCTTGACTACACCAGAGCAGACAACAGCAAAGACTACCAAGGATCGCCCTTCATGTGCATTCCCCAGTCATCATCAATATGAAAAACATTAAGGCATAACCCGCTTTCATTAATCTACTTCAGAAAACTTCCCCCAATAGTTCCACCTAGCTCATGTGTCCGGCTGCCCAGTCAAAGCTCCACCATGTAGGAAGCCAAGCTAAAGTAACAAAAGTCAGGCTAAAAAATTAGAAGATATGCACAAACATGTCAGGAATTCTCCAATTGCAAAGCTGGGCAAAATAACCAAACTTAGAAGTCCAATTCGTGCCATGTTCAAGATACAAGGATTTCGCAACATAAACCCGTTCCATGAAAAGTCAACAGCCCTTCTGTCCACTGTAATTGCAGCAAAGAACTGTAAAGGGAGGGAGGAAAATTAATGTGGGAAAATGAGAAAGTTTTCACTGTTAAAAAGGCGAAGCCAACAGGAATCCCCTGACTTCACAGGGGCTTGATTCCGCTTCCTGTGAAGTCCGATACCGAGAACCCGACACATGTAACTTGACCCTTCAGTACCTTTCTGCAGCTTTTACTGCACTGAATCCTTCACGGGTCCACCTCAAGCAGCAAGAGGTGTCTCGCGGGAAGGCAACCCCGAAGAAAACGAAATGAACTTTCATCGACAGAGTTCTGTCCATGGAAATGGGAGAGGCTGACACCTTAAGGAACGTAATGGTGAAAATGAGGAGAGATATGGACTTACTACCAAATCCGGATGAGGCGGCTGTAGTGGCCGTGCCAAAGCCAAAACCAGTTGATGCTGTTGTTTTAGGGGCAAATGAACCAAATGAAAATCCGGAGGAGCCTTAAGCAAAAAAACAAAAAGTAAATCAGAATGAAAAAAGGCCTTGTGAATGAGCAATGGATTCTTCACCTGTAATTAATCTCCTGATCGATATTAACACCCGCTGTGGTTTTCACCAAGGTACATTATAAAAGAATTCCACGTCACTTTTTTGATTCAGACGCTTGTTTGCATGTTTAAAGATCACAATCGATGTGCTCCTGATCTCAGTGTCGGCTGTATTTTTTATTCTTTAACCACAAATTGTATTGATTATTTACTAATTTGATCCTTTTGAGTTGACTGTGGATATGTCAGTAATTCCGAAAGATTACCGAAATTACTTTAAATCACCGTAATGGCTACATGGACATACAGTTTTCATTGTATTCTGCATACCGCACTACTTGGACATAATGTATTACATATACCCTGGAAACATAGCAGCTCTATTTATATGGAGTTTGGTCTGAATTTATCTTATTCGATTTCTAATGCACTATTATTATGTAACCTTCATTTTGTGATTTTTATCCCCCCCTGGTGAGCTTGTAGAAAAGACATTTTATTGCCAGCAATTACTGCTGCACGCTGTACTGTTGTGTTTTTGATAATTAAACTTTGATTGATTAATTGAATTATAACAAAGAAGTAACTTGTAAGAAGAAGAAGGGTATTTATTTTAGACAGGATAATTTCCAAAATAAATTCATGTTCAGTCTGGAGGTACTGCCAGATCTAGGCAGTGTCCCGGTTCTTTCCAAACTTGATGGCTGACTTCACTATGCTTGAAACGATATTAAGGGTCACTGAAATGTTTTTATACAGTTCTGACTGTGCCTTTATCCTAAAAGCTCCTTGTTCTTCATGGTAGAATCTTTGCTTGAAAATCACTAGGTGACTGAGGGATCTTACAGACAGAGCTGTTATCTATTCTGAAATGATCTGAACCACTGTTAAAGTGGGTTTCCTCTCATAGCCCAAAGACGTGCTGGTAGGTTAGCTGGCTTCTCTGGAAATTAGCCCTGGTCTGAGTGTGTCTGTGTGCACTGGGATCCTGCCTTGTGCACGCTGCTTGCCTAGACAGGCGCAGGCTCCTGCAGTGGATGGATGGACGGACGGACATTAAACCAATTAAAATCAATAGCCAATTAAGAACTGCCAGTTGTTAATCGACTTTTTACTGCGGGAACGCCAACAGGCAGGCCTTGAGGGTAGCCTCAGACGGAGTAGAAGTGACGCTCTTGTGTTCTGCTGGATGATTGGGAGTTGACAGCATTTCTTATAGGGCTGAGCCACTCTGAAGAAGGTCTGTGCACACTGTGGTGTGAAACACAAGCACCACAGGCGATACAGCATCGGTGACTGGAGCAATGCTGCTCTCACTGACAAACCAGCCCCCCCTCTGACCAGCCAGCTGAGTGCTGGTCGGTAAGTTTACTTCTGGGAAGGTTAGCTCTGGTGTGGCTGTGTCTGAGTCCGCCCTGCTATGGACTTGCAGTGTTGCTTTCCAGGATAGGCTCGAATTAGAATTAGATAGAATTAGATGAAGCACTTAGAAAATGGATAGATGGATGGATGGATGGATAATATTTTGAATACATAATCTGTAAAGATAATATTGATTCACAAAATGTTATACAAATGGTATGTTTTGATTATGGGCACTATGATGAATTAACGATATTGATATGACCAGACAGGTTGAGGAGCCATCTTACTTTTATACTAAAATTACAATACAGGGATTAAGTCTTTGACAGCACAAGATTTATTAACTGAACAAACTGTCTTACTAAACAAAAATCCTTTTTTTATGTTAATGTCATATATATTGTTCTCATGTACCAGAGACCTTGAAATTTTAATTTCTCCACATCACGGCTTCATAATACATTTAAAATATCAGCTTGCATAAAAACGAACTGTTGATAAATTGATAAGTTCTATCTGTAACGTATACTTAGCGAGTTATGGTGCCAAACTATCTAAAAACATCAGAAAAGTACCTAAACACAGCTGGTTTAAGTCCAGTTCTGAGCACTTAGAACGAATCGGAGATTTTTAAATGGGAATTTATTGTCGCTTTTACAAGAGTTCGCCTACGAAGACATTTTGGAATCAATTGTGCTTGCTTATCAAATGATGAGTGTGTGTCCTGCAGAAATTATTAGTAGACGGGGTACCTATGTGAGGATTTTTAACGTGTATTGCAATGTTAGAAGTTATCAAGCACAGGGCTCGTACATTATCCAGTGGAAATTCTGGATACTTCAGGCAGGCTTTGCTTTTCATTCTCTGGATCACTCTCGAAATATCAGCTGTCATGAAATAACACAATAGCATATCCAAATGCAAGATCAATTACATGCTAATATAAAGCTGTAAAACTATACACACCCAAACTGTAGTCTATATCAATCCTTAACATACTTTTTAAACTACACTATAAATACCAAATGAACCTATATCAGAACCACTGAAGTGCAATGAGGAACTACTAATGTAAAGTAACAGAGGAGAACAACCTAAGAGGCAGCCTACCGGCTATAAAACAGCCTAACATGTCTTTTAACCTGCAACACGGCGCGGCCGGAGACAAGAGACCCGTCACTGACAGAAAACATTAGTTTCAACACAGTTTAAACTAATTTTTCACTTCCATCTGATAAGACAGCCATATGGAGAGACCTTCGGCTGCAACCATAACGACCAACACAACATATTTTTACAACACTTACCCGCAGTGTTAGAGGGAGCGCCTCCAAAGTTAAACGCCATGTTCGATGTGTTCCGGTTCCGTCTACATGGAGGCTCCGTGTAGAAACCCGGGCTACTCGAACAACGAGTTCCTACGTACGCGGAACCTTGCGCTATATGCGTGTCTCAGAAAGAAGTAGCACGTTTAAATGGCAACACACTTTATTGAACTCCATACATGCATATAGCTACACAGAGGTCGTTCTCATAGCAGCAATTGTTGGTGTCACCACGAAGCACGTCAAACATCTGAGTTTCTGTCTGACCTAACTTCTCTAGTAAAGTCTGCTGATCCCCCGTCACCTGAAGAGAGAATTTGTTTTTTTTTTGTTCTGGGAGAGAAGCACAACCTCGGGTTCAGAGGTGATGATTTTAAGGCTCTGCGCGTCGGGAATCACAGTGGGGCGATGCATTAAGGACAAGATAATTTTCGTGGGATAGAGGGCGGTTCTGGTTATCTGCACTCGGGTCTATTAAATCGCATACCTGTTCAAAACGGAAAACAAACAGGACGGGGACACGATTTAGACTACGACTGTAATCAACTCAACACCGAATCTCTATCTCGAATGATACTTTCTTAGTCCCAAGAACCATTTAAAATAACCACTGGGGGGAAAAGAGTAAAGGAAAAAAGTCCCGGACATTTTAAATTTACCGGCGGTTAAGAACTGAACAGGAGAATATATCCAAGAAAAAAAACGTACGTATGGTAACCCTACCAATGGCCACACTGAACAAACTCAACTTAATGCCAGAAATAGTTCAGGTAGCTGCGTTCCCACCCGAAGAAGGCACCACAGCACGTTGTTTCCTTTCTTCTCTTTTCAGCATGGAATACACCTTTACTTGTTCCTTAATGTCAGAAATATGGACACAGCTTCCGCCCCCCGGAGAGATGGACCGTACTATAAAGCATCTGGCACCTCGCATTATCCCACAACCCAACTTGAGGAACACTTCATCTGCCTTCGTGAGGGAGATGTGATCAGTAAACCCACCCGAGTTATCTTTTTACTCCCTTTGCTTTTCTCTACCAGAACTATGAGGCTGCCAGGTAGCCATTCTCTGTGCCCTTGAAACAAATGCTCCTCATCCTGCGCTTTCACTTAAGAGACAGTTGGCGCCGCCGCAGCTCCCTTTAAATAACAACCGCTACGTCTCCTCCAAGATAGGAGGAGAAGGTAATTTAAACATTCTCCAAAATTTAAGAACAGAATGTAAAGGTTGTCGTTCAAACCACGCAAGGCAACGATTTGTTAGTTCAAATGATGTTAAGGGCTCGGCAGAAAGACGTGCTGTTCTAATATTATAGTGTATATTTTTTGAAAGCACAAAAGTTCCTTTATTTGGTAGGATATTACTTCTCCATTTGTATTTTGAAAGAATTCAGACTTAAATTAAGAAATAAATCAGATATAAAGTTCTCCCTGACTGCGTGTCTCATGGAGAGCAAGCTGGGGTATGCGAAAAGACTAATTCCTAGTGCAAGGAATATACATTGTATATGGCTAATAAAGTGATCTTTATCTTATTTTATCTTAATTCCACTCTGAGCTTGCACAGTGTGCCTGAGCTGCAGTTCCCCCTGAATTCACTTTCTCACCTCTCTGCCTGATCTGGGGTGTGGCAGGGTGCTCGCCCCAGGCGTGTGCAGCACTTCAGTGCTTAATGAATCGGGTCTCTCCATTTGCATGAAACTCTTTCAGATGAAAGGTGCTGTAGAAATACAACTGTATTTCAGACAGAAACATGAGCATGGCAACAGGAAGATGCTTAATCAGCCAGCTACAACACATCTTAACTTTCCACTTCTTCAGACAGTCCGGATCGGTAATAACATCTCCAGCACCATCCGATTGAGTACCAGAACCCCCCAGGGCTGTGTGCTCAGCCCACTGCTGTTCACACTGATGACTCACGACTGTACTGCCAAGCTTCATCAAAACTGCTTCATCAAGTTTGCCGACAGTGGTGGGCCTCATTAGCAACCATGATGAGTCACAATGCAGAGAGGAGGTGGAGCAACTAGTGGACTGGTGCACAAACACCAACCTATCTCTTAATTTAAACAAAACAAGAGATAATCATTGACTTCAGAAGTGTCCACGCTGATCACTCCCCACTGCACATCAATGACTTCCCTGTGGAGACAGAAGCGCCACATTTCTAGGTGTACACATTACAGATGACCTCACCTGGTCCCTCAATACCACCTCCCTAGCCAAGAAAGAAAAAACAGCAGCATCTTTATTTCCTGCGGTGACTGAGGAGGGCAAACCTTTCCCCTGCCCATTCTTACCACCTTCTACAGAAGCGCCACTGAGTGCACCTTGACCAGCTGTGTCACTGTCTGGTTTGGAAACTGCAACGCTTCAGACCACAAGACCCTGCAAACAATTGTGGAAACAGATGAACAGATCATTGGAGCCTCCCTCCCTTCCATTTCTGTCACCTATCACAAACGCTGCTTACACAGGGCCTCCAGTATAGTAGATGACCCCTCGCATCCCTCCCACAAACTCTTTGCCATCCTGTCATCTGGGAAAAGATATCGCAGTGTACGGGCCAGCTCCACCAGACTCTGGAACAGCTTCTTCCCACAGGCTGTCAGGCTCCTCAACACCCTGGAATCCACTTGCACCCACTCCAATTCCAGAAACAGGGTTTAAAATCCCAGTGTGATGCGTATATTGTTATGTATCTACCTTGTAATTTGCGCTATCTGCAGTTTGCACTACGTGTGTCCTGTCTGTCTTGCCTGTATTTGCACCGTGGACCAGGAGGAATGATATTTCGTTCCACTGTATACTTGTAAATGGCTGGAATGACAAACTTGAACTTGAACTTTTACCTTTGTGTCTACTGAACAGTGGCTTACAGTTCTACCAGAAGGCAACGAATACAGGTTCATCACCCTCTTTTCCCATGTAGTTTGCCTGTGATCTAACTGTTGAAAATGCTGGCATAATATACTAAAACCAAGCAACCAAATACAAAAAGCTTGACTTTTGCCCTTGTTTCTATTTTTCCCCATACAAAAGGACTAAAATAAAGCACACAAAACACAACTGTAACCATCATTTTTATTTTTTGTTGCAAATATTACACTAAAAATTGTACAAAAGCATTGTAGAAATATTTTGTGCTGATGTTAGCATCAGAAAAATAAGAGAGATGTTATGCTACATTGAAATTATATGAACCCTTGTGACAAGAAAAGATTGTCTTTCAGCAGCAATAAAGGGGTATTGTTTCAGAAGGAATAAGGAAACGTTTATGAAATGTAGTCTTTCCAAACCATTCAGAAGAAAATAACTGTGCCACTAAACTGTCAGTGTAGGAAAGGGTCAAATGGGTCATGTGCCAGCCTCGTAATTCATTCATCTCTAGACAACAGGAAACATTAAGATAATTACGTATTGGTATAATTTTGTAAAATCCTTTGTGGATTTAAATTAAAACGCAAGCATACAACTTGCAAATGTTTTTCCAACAGTATGAGTTCTACAAATTAGCACTTATGTCTTTAAGCACATGGGAACACTTTTGCTGTTGTGTATGTAAGCAGAGTGATGGGAAAGTTTCTTTTAACAAACGATCTGTTACAAATTACTTGTGTAAGGGATTATGTTTTAAATTCAATTACAGTGAATTATGTAGTGTATAGTTACTATGTAATGTAAGGTATTATCTCTTACAAGAAATTTCTTCCCACCCTATTTAAAAATGTGATCACTTACACAAGTAACGTGTAACAGACTTTTTAAAGAAATCTTGAAGTGCAGATTAAACAGGAACATTCCCAAAATTTTAATCTGTTTTGTTTAAGAAAATGTTTTAAATGATATTAGAAGGCCAGTGACATTTCTTCTTTTTAACAGGAAATTAAGGTTAACCTAGAATTGTTCCCTTGGCACAGCCTGAGATTTTATACATGAAGGTTTGGATTTGGTTTTTACATGATGCACTACATTTGTTTCAAACAGGTAAGACCAGCTGGTTCCTCTTTACCATGGCATAACTGAAAGAAAATGTTGCTAAGTAACCAACATCTATACTTAGGGTGGGAAAGAGGAACTGGAAAAACTCACGTTGCGTCAATCCCGAAACAATACAGTATTTTCTTAATGATATTCAGTCTTTTAGTGTAAATCTACAAGGCATTTTACAACCTTTAGCATTCAATCAGCTTTACAAAAGAATTAAATTGCTTTTTAGAAAAGAGAAAACCCTTTCACAAAATGAATATCTATTTTAGCTTTTCTGGCTTAAACAAACCATCTAAGTAAGTGTTCAAGGTTACAAAACTTTTATTGCAATTATAAATTTCTCATTAAATATCTAACCCTGTATTGCTGCATTTGTCCTTGTCTTTTTTAGGTTTAATACTGTGAGCATATTAATCTGTAACCGTTAGTAAACATTTTGGCAGTTTGTTACTTTGAGACAATTAAAAGGATGTTTCTGTACAGTACATGTATAGAGTAATGTGTTTATTCACTGACAATGTTTCTGAAAAGCATCTCTCTTCAAGGAAGAAACCTTGACTCGAGAACTCAAAACTCTCCCGCACACGTTAGCCGACAGTGCTAACAGGGCAGAGGGTGATGGCACAGAGGTGGCATTTCCTTCAATGCAAAGTAAAATTGGCAGAAAGTGATTCATATCCAAGCGATCTTTGGTTAAGCACAGGCAGTGAATGGATTTAAGTCTGAAGAACAGGGCCGAGAATGCAGAAAAAATGGCTCAGGTGTGCAGCATAAGATTCGGCACTCAGGTAGCCTCAGCGATTTTCGAAATTCAAGTCAAGAAGGACATAGTGCTCAGGTATACATTAAGTTGTCCAGTACTTAAATCTACAAATGACTGGCTCCACTTTGATTGATAAGCTTAGAAATGCTTTTGAGGATTGCCGCTCTCTCCACCAGGATCTGTGGAAGAACAGCAATCACAACAAAAAAAACAAAGCCATCCACCTGAATTTCCATTCAGAAACCCATTCGTTATTCTGCACTGGTGATCGCACAACCAAACCTTTGCTTAGATCACGGACTTCTTCCAATATTAAACATAAGAGCAAAAGCAATCAATACAGAGACCACAGGACACGCTTTCTGTTCAGTCACCAATTCCGCACCATAGAACAAGAAAATATGTACAACACAACCGACAAAATACCGGATAAAGGTAACAGTTGTTAAAACCTACATACTGTATACATTTTGAGAATTGCATACCAGACGTGACTCATTTTCAAAAGGTAACACTGTAATCAGTAGTGACCAGAATATCCCTCTAGTCTTCTGTGTGTAGCTGACCTTTTTATCACTGCGTTTTCTTCCCATTTGAACTTACCGGTTGGAAACCAGCATTACATAGATACAGCATTTTCAACAGACCTTCCAGTTCTAACCAGAAGAATGAGTTACAGCCATTGCTTAAAACAGAAAAAGACAGAACCAGACAACCAAGCACTGAGTGTCTACCACAGAAATGTGTCCGGAGGAGACAGCTTTCTTTAGCTGCACTGGCTGACAGTTTCTAGCTCGGAACCCTAAAATTAAAATAAAACATAAAGTAAACTCCGGAAACACAAATAGTTGGAGGAAACCACATCCCCATTTACCATCTTAAAAGATGCACAACTGGAAACACCCACTTCACTCTTAAATTATATACCAAACTGAAATGCTCAGCAGGACCAATCGAATCTGACATTTTAACTGTCCCTTTAAATGCAGTAACAAAACAACGAGGAAAATAAGATCTTAAGCAAATCTCCAAAAGTACAGAAAATTACATATTCCACTAAGATATTTGGCTATCCAGAGAAATGGCCTAGAGTTTGAAATGAAGGAAAACAAGATTTCTACTAAAAAAAACACTGCTCTCAAACAAGAATGGGAAATTTTGATTTTTTTTCAGCCCTTTGCTCAATCTATACATATAAAATTTATACTTATACTAAAAAAAAACAATCAACAGTGTTCAATTTCACCGTCAGGAGCACAAACCTGAGGATTGCGAAGCCTGTGCTTGTTCAAGTGGTGTGCATTATTGCTGCCCTATTTCAAACCAAAGCCCTTAAAACAGTTGCAGAAAAGTCAGAGAACAAACAGTTATAGCTGGATTTCATTTAATTCGGTCTTCAACTATTACTACTGATTCAATGTTACTTGATATGTCAAACTCTGGACAAATGCAATGTCTTAAACAAACAGGGCACATTTTGCAGAAGACCGAATAGGCAAGCTCTTCTAAAATCGGGCTCCCAAAACCAAACAATGTCTATTTGAAATGTGAGGGACAGTTGGGTTACGCTGTAGGTTAGGGTCAGTTTATCCATAATCACTTTAATTTGAAGCGACTCCCGTTGAAGCCAAAACAGGTACAGGAGTTCAGATATTTCTTACTCTACATTGAAAAGTTACTGCAGCTATTTCAACACGCATGGAGTTTCCCCATCCTTTAATTTACATTCTGTACTTAATTCTCATTTTCTGTAGATCCCCTACGAAACCTGCAAACCCCTTGAGTCAATGTACAGTAAATTTGTTAATTTAAAGCAAAAAGACTGTTACATCAAGAGGAAGGGCAACATTTTAAGACAGCGGTTGAAAATAAAATGCACTCCAGATGTTGCAGAGTAACTGCCTTCTATATACAATATCCCAGGACATAATCACATTGAATTCACTCCTGTGCTAGGTCCTACTTCTTTCTTTAGTCAGAAAATAAAAAAACAACAACTTTCCAACCTCCAGCCATCGAATACATAACCAAAGTTAATGACTTACTTCAATTTAAAAAAAATTGAAGGTTTGATCACAACTTAAAAAAAAACTGAATCAAGGCTGTAACAAACTCCAGTATTAGGAATAGAATTCAAGAAACAGGAAAAGGTTGGCGTGAAGACAAACTCTCGAGTCATGGTCAGCTCTCGTGGTGAAGATGCGATGTTAGATGGCGGACATACAGTGCGGCTTTGGCGTACTAGCCACATATGACTGTGCCACGTCGGAAGGAAAATGGCCCGAAACCGAACTGAACCGCCTTCTCCGCAGTAGTTCCTACAGTCCACACCAGGCCTCCCCGGCAAAGCAAAAGGCCAAGGCCAGCAGGTATATGAACGTTGGCGACTGCTTCATTCCGATTGGCGGTCGTATTCTATTTTATCCCTGCCCGAGCCGCCCCTTCCCATTACCGCCGGAGGCTCGCTCACAACAGCACGCTTATGGCAGGGAGACGGCCCTCCCACTGCAGTTCTCTGGGGGATGTGGTGCTTCACTCACCAAGAAGCAGCGCTCAGCTTTTGAGGAACGCGCCGAGACGCTGGACGTTCGCCCAGCAATAGTGAACAATTAGCTGTATGTTGGGTTTTTAACCCCCCCATCCCCAGCTTCCTTCGACCCATGGCTACAGATCTTCCCTGCAGTGGATCAAGGCTACTAGTAGAAATACCTCCAGTTGTGCGCCCTAGAAAATCCAGTACAACTCCCGTGGTCCCCAATCTGAAACTGAAACAAACTGCACAAGAGAATGCAGAGGGGAGGGGGGGTCTCGCTCATTAGGAATGTTATCAGAGTTTGGCCATGCACAGAGCCCAGCCTGAAGGAAAACAAAACAAAACAAACGATGGTTCAGAATGGCGCAGAAACAAGCAACACCTCGATGGTTTGGATTGACAGGGGCCGTGTCCAGACCCCTGCACCGGTGCAAAGCTTGGCACTGTCCTGGGCCAATCCGGTTCCCCCTCAACAGTTCTCAGGGTCGATGGGGTGCATGGAGATGTAGGGGCCGTTTTTTAACTGCTGGGTGGGGTTGGAGTCGTTCTCTGGCCCGTCCTCCGGCTTGTCTCGGACCTGGGTGTAGGCCGTGTCTTCCTTGGCCATTGTCTACAAACACAAACCGCGAGAACGGCGTTATTTCTCCACACGCCTCTGTCTGAGGGAAGGCGGTGGGGTGCTGTGGCCAAATGAAAAACTCGACTTCTAGTTGAAAACAGTTTTGAAAATTTGCGCCTTTAAGGCGGTCACGGAGGTGAAAAATCCACATTCACGTAATGCGCTGTAGGTTCCAGCACAAATGAGGAAAATTAAAAGATAAAAGGATGTTGGAAGACTATGCACTTAAATATTTGCCCGTACAAAAGTTAAGTCTTTTCAGCTGTATGACCACAATCCTAATTATCTCTTTTGCAAAAGCTGCAAGTTGACTCTGCTTCAGTTTTCCCATCAGTACTTTGACACTTAATACTTTATTACATTTATAATTACTCAGAATCCTGAACTGGGGTGTTTTTGGGCCATTTTTAACATGTATTAACAGGTAGCAGGCAGTTTAGTTCACTAATAACAGTCAGTACTACACGTCAGCAAGTTGTTCAAGTTATAGCAAAGCCTAAGTGCCAAAGAAAATATGTAATGAATGATGCAATCATGAAATGCGGGTTCATTTAAAACTAAAACTTTCAGGGAAAACAAACTAAACGGTTGCAAGAAAACCAAAATCAGTAAACTGTTAAATAAAATGAAATAATGAATTAAGACTTACAGGAAAAGAAGGGAAAGCTTCAGAAAAATCAATACGCTTAACTTCATTCTGAACAGAAACAAAAAGGAACAGAAAAAAATGTAAAAATAGCAGAAAATAAAAATGCACAGTGTATATTCATCTGATACTGGAAATGCTGTACTTTAGCACTGGACCAATTATTTCCAAATTTACGGACAATGTTGTTTCAGTCTTAGCCAATCTTAAATAAAGAAAAACAAAAAAAAACTAAGATTTTTCCATCTCAGAAGGGATAAATAACTCGGTAACGTGTGCAGACCTATACCCAGACTAGTTTCCTATCTCTTCCAGGGATCATTCCTTAGCGAAAAAAACATTTTCTGAAAAACAAACATCTTGGTAAGAAACTTTCTATAACTAACTAATAACCTTTAGTATGACACTTTCTATTGATTTTTCATGAGCACCTCTTTTAAAGAAACTAAGAAAACATGCTCTGGTTAATTTCTTGGCCATGCATGCTTTTGCCTGTTTTAATGGTTAAAATGAAACATGGGTTAGCCCAGACTAGCAATATGCTTTAAAGTTCATTTGCTGCATGAAAAAGAATAAGCAAAAACCAGTTAGACTAGGACTACACATTCACAAAACATCTGCAGGGCAAAAACCTCTGGACTTAAATATAAATGTTCCACAACAAGCTACCAAATCAAAAGGGGTACAGTGGTATTTTCTCAAGCTTGCAACAAACAAATGGATATTTAACAGAAAGCAATCTGGACTGATGAAATGGCACGTTTTCGACTTCACTTAAGGTGAAATGGAAAATGGAAAATCCAGACACAGTTATGATCATCTACCTTGACAGGGACATTTAAAAAAATGCCTCCAGGGCTTTGAATTAATATTTAGATAGCAAGCAGAAAATAATAATGATCAATACTCAAAAATGGTATGTTGGAGTTGGTTATATGATCAGTATTCCTCCTATTACATTCTTTTCATAGATTTTATTATTAATATTCTCCTGTTGTTTGACCAGACTATGTATTGGCTTGAATACATGCAAGTTCAAAGCAATGCTCTAATATATGAATATGAGAAAAGGAAGAACAGCATTTTGTATTGATGGCTGGGCAGTCTTATCCTGAGGACTTAAAATATTAATTCCTTTGCATCTGTATTACCAGCAAAATACACAAATGCTTCTCTCTGAACTCGAGAGCATTGCTTTGTGGAGGCAATAAAAGCAATCTGAATCACTTCTAGTGTGGCCAGCTTTGCCAAGGAAAGAGCTCTGCACTGGATAAGAAATGGCATCTTCAAGTAGCAGCATTCTTGACTATAGCTTCTTGAAGGGTGTTTTTGCAGCTGTAGAAATCTTTCAAAACTGCCACTAAGAGCAATATTTTCCAAACATGACCTGATGAAACAAGTAGGTTTCTTTTAATATTCATGTTGACGTTTACAACCATGAAACAAATTGCTTCCTTGTTAATGTTAAAAAGACAGAAAAAAAGACTAATTACTGGGTGGAGCATTTCCAATTATATAATTAAAAAAATAAATAATTGGGGGGAAAAAGAACCTTCATTAGCTCATACTCACTCTCTTCTGTCTCGCTCTACAGATGAGGATGATTAAAACCAACAGCATGATGGCACCCAGTCCCACAATAATCAGAGGAATGTTGGACACCACAGTGACAATTAACAACAATTTCCTCACTTTTGCTGCTGAAGCATCATCAATCACAACGGTCTGAAAGAAGAAAAAAAATGCTGCTGATTCAGTTTTACGCAGTCTTGAAAATGTGGTAATGAAATACCAAAAGCTGCAAGTAGTTTATTAAAAGAAAAAGTTCTTACCTCATTTACAAACATCACTGGAAAGATGGTGTCATTTAGATATTTGGTTTGGCTGAAGGGAAATAAATGACAACATTAAAATGTTTACTCTGCAAACATGTTTACTTGAAATTAACAGGAGTAGCTGTTCTCCATCTTCATCTTTTGGATACAGTAGGTAAAAAACCATGTCAAAATTTCCCATCACTGTGCCATGGCTCCGAAGACAGCTGTTTGGACACAATTTTATGCAAATCTCTCTTTGATTTCTGCCTATTCCACTCCCTCAAGATTCTGGCTAACATTTTTGTCAGGCCAAGAAACATTTTTCAGAATGGACTGCGTTATATCACGTATACCATTATTCATTCTTCCATTCTTGACTACTGCACAGTGGTCTGCGTTCAAGTTGATTTTCACTTTTTTTAAGCCGATTTGAAACTTACGGAAAGCCGCTGACTTTTTTCAGCAAAATGTTCATCTGTGCTCTCTTGCAGGCGCGCACAGGGAAACCGGTAGTCTGTAGAGAGAAGACAAGACCAAAATTAGAGTTTCTGGCATATGAACACTTTTCCAAGACAGAGAGGAGGGAACCTGATTCAAGCATTCAAAATCTGTAAATGTACTGTAAAGACAAACCAGCAGATTGATTGAGAACCAGTCAAACAAGACCCCGAGGACAAGTAAAAAAAGTTTTGTGGAAATGCATTTAAAACCAGGAACAAGACACACTTTTTACACTAAGGGAGTAAACGTTTTGGGAGCAAGGAAGAAGCTACCGAGCCATGTCTAGGCTAAACTGCATATTTAAGCAACTTCAGTGCAAGTTCAGTGGTTTTTTTATATGTGATCTGCAGTGTTTTCAGCCACACAGATACCTCAAAAAAATAAGTTGTGCTTTATTAGTTTAACCTACTCAATATTCATCAGATTTTCCAATGCCTTTAAAAGGGGAAAAAAAAGGTAACTCCACTGCTGGAGAAAAGCAATTTCCAAAATTCCAAACATTTCCAAAAACTAATTTTTGTCCAGCTCTGTATTGAACACAACCGTCTGATTCACACACTGTCCACTAGATGGTGCAGGAAAGTACATCCAGCCAACCGTCACAAAGCTGCTCATTGCTAGAAAGACCGTAGCAGCCCTGAGCCTATCCCAGAGGCAGAGAGCGCAAAAGGGGAACACACCCTGGACAGGACCTCAGATCTCAGGACATCCACACAGGAACGGTTTAGGGACACCAATTCACCTAGCCGGCCTGTCTTGGGGAGGTGGAAGAGAACTGAGGCGCTCGCAGAAAACCCACGCAGACAGAGGAGAACAAACTCCAAGGAGAAGGAGCCCTGGTCAAAAAGCATGCCCAAGACCCAGGAGCCGTGACACCGCAAGAGCTTATCATCAATGTCACCCTGCCACCCATGGCTTTCCGAATTCATTCGCTTTCGAAGACGCAGCACAAATAATTCGCAAATTCATTTTTGACATTTGGGTGAGGAATCTCAGTGCGGTTCGGGGGAGTGATAAAAGTTACCAACGTTTCTTAAAAAAAAGACAGCTCTTCGGATTTTTCTGCGGCTCTTCCCAGTATGATCTAATGTTTTTCCTCCCTTGTCTGCGGGGGTAACAGTAACAGTTGCGTAACTGTTGTGTAACAGTCTGACACAAGGGATTTTGGAAGCGGGCTCCTCTTACTGGATTAATGTCCAGGAAGGTTTCGTGATCCTCCTTGTTTGGCCTCATCCCTTCGATGGCACTGATGTACTTCTGGTCGGCCTGGTAGAAGTGTGGAAAGGAGACCACGACTGGAGCACCTTGAAAGTCAGAACACAACAGTGCCGGTGAGGAAGAGATCAGAACAGCAGCAGCTGAGATTGTAAAGGCTGGAGTGCAATTTCAACCTGCCCCCCCCCCCACACAAAAAAACCCCAACACAACAGGAACTGTATCCCCTCTGTTCTCAACACGATCGTCACAATCGCAGCTTTAGGTCCGAAGAGTGGAAGGGCATCTCGAGCGCTTGAGCCACTCGTACATCTGGCTACAAACAAAAAGCGTGTTAAAGTTCAACCAGCTTTGTCTGAAGAAGGAAGGGTAGAGTAAGACAGATCCTGCCCTCCACTCCAGTGACCCTGCAAACGAGAGCTGCGAGTGTCTGCATTTCACATTTCGTACTCCGTGTTCGCTCAGTGACATGTACATAGGACGGGAGGGGTATCATGCTTTGTTTAACTGCACAGATTAATGCTCGCATTTTTCAAATAAACAGGTTCAAGGTACCTTCCGGTTCATTGTTCTGCAGCACCTTTAGACTACTGTGCACTGATGCCACGATCACTTAACTGTATAACCCTTGGCCTTAATTGTTCCAACAAGAACATCCAGTCCAGGGCTTTGTTCTGGTGGCACTTGTTCCATTTCGGTTCCTGTTTTTTTTGGTATTGCTACTCGCACGATGTATCCTGCTGCCAAGACTGAATATTTCCACAACACCCAAAAGAGGACGTTCAAGTAGTTTCCTCACAATACACAAAGCTGCCCCTTCACATGGGACGTACGAAACTGGGGCTCCTCCAGAGAATGACAATGTGCACATCTATAATAATAATGAATAATTCCTTGTACTCATATAGCACTTTTCTGGACACTCCACTCAAAGTGCTTTACAGGTAATGGGGACTCCCCTGCACCACCACCAGTGTGCAGCCCCACCTGGATGATGCGACGGCTCACCACACATCAGCTATCAGTGGGGAGGAGAGACGAGTAATTCATAGATGGGGATTTTTAGGAGGCCCTGATTGGTAAAGACCAGGGGGAAATCTGGCCAGGATGCTGGGGTTACACCCCTCCTCTTTTCGGGAAATGCCCTGGGATTTTTTTATGACCAGAGTGAGTCAGGACCTCGGTTTTCCATCTCATCCGAAGGACGGCGCCTTTATACAGTATAGTGTCCCCATCACAATACTGGGGCATAAGGACCCACGCAGACCGCAGAATGAGCGCCCCCTGCTGGCCCAACTCACAGCAGCAACCTTAGTCTTTCCCAGGAGGTCTCCATCCAGGTACTGGCCAGGCTCACACCTGCTGAGCTCCAGTTGCCGGGCAATATGGCTGCAGCCTTCAACGACTTGCAGAAATATGACTCGCACACAATCAAAACAGTTCTTAAAAGGCTCTTGGAAATTCATCTTCTTCAATAATCTATTTTCTTTAGGCAAACGGTCATTGAGGCAAAAAAAGCTGTACAGTGGCAATTTAATCACTATGAATTTTAGGCCAGTGTACTGTAGGGTTACAAGAACCGCAGAATATTGCCTGCAGTTATACTTGTAGTTGCACTTTAAATGACAAAATTGGGAGAGTTTACCCATTAGAACAGGTTTTCTTCAAACTTTTCATCTGACTCAGTATTTGGATACAATCACTGAAATGTGGCAATATCCAATACAGGCAGCCAAAAGTCTCTGAAAAATAAAAGTACAGATAGGAGCAAATTATCACTCATCCTAAAGTTGACTTGGGCCCAGGAATCCAGCACTGTGAGTAAAAAATGTCCACGTATTGAGGGAATGCTAACTCTAACCCTAGCTGGGGATTCAATTGTGCAGTCCCGCAGGGTGTCAAAGAAGCCCTCCTATGCCTGGGCAGTGCCCACCACCAATACCCAATCCAAGCCAGGGGCAATAAAATAATGGCTAAACTGCATGATAAAACGTGGTGCATTTCACTGCACGCCCTCCATGAAATCAAAATTAAAAAGGAAATTTTAAAAATATCTAATAAAATGTTATTTTTCCATCATTCTGAATCTTGTCTAATGCTTCTCTGAATGTTTGGGGCCTCTTCGATATTCTCAAGGAGTTGAGAGCCGCTGTAGGAATCTGTTTTGCTTAAGCAAGCAAAGACAATAAGTGAAAAACCTTTCACCTAGTGGGAAGTGGGAATAATGGTTTCTTGAAGGTGAGTCAGCTCCTACAAATTGCACAGTAGGGACGAAAAGCATTGCACAATCATTATTGTTACAGCTCCCCTTCCTTGATATCACATGATGGGCTCCACAACTGCTATTTGGAGTCACATTCTGTCTGGGAAAAGGCAGTGGAACAGAGGTGAATGCTTTCCTTCTGTCCCTTTTGGCTGTGGTGCTCTGGGCAGAAGTTCACTGTGCCGTAAGTTTAAAAAAGGGGTACTTTAATGTGTATATGTGGGTTTCCAGTCGTCAAGTCACACGCACAGTTTGACACTTTTCACGAGGTTACACCCTGCTGTCAGATACCAACTCCATCAATCAGTGACCATCAAATCAAGTAATTTTAGATTTCCAGAAGGCTTACAATAAAGCTTTGCATAAAAGTTAATTCTTTAACTGCAAGCAGTGAAGTTAATGCATGGTTCTGGTTTGAGATATGGTTACTGGATAAAACAAATAAGGGGGAATGCTACAATATGGGGAATTTATTAAGTACAGTACCCCAAGAATCTGTATTAGGAACACTATTCTTTCCAATTTATGCAGTATTGATGATCTAGATCAGGAGCCTCAGACCAGGTTCTGGAATGCCAGTGTGCAGTCTTTAAAGCATAAGCAGATGAAGAGCTGGGAGAATCTGTTCATTTAATCAATATTGAACCGAAATTGGATATGACTGCAGCTGAACATCAAAATGTGAAGACACGCTGGCCACCCAGGACTAGGAATGAGCAGCTTTGAGCTAGATTCTAGCATATTCAGTAAACTAAATTAATTCTCAGACCATCCTAAAATAGGAAGATTAGCAAACACTGGAGTAGCTGGAAAGGAAGTTCAAAAACAATGAATCACTTGGCCAACACCATGCAGACCAAGTTTAATATAAACACGAGCAGTAGCTTGTTACATGCAGGTAGCAGAAACAAAACTGAAGGTATGGTATGAACTGTAAATTTGAAGATGCCTGTGAAAAAGACTTAAATGTTGATGTTATTTTCCAGACACACAATGTCACAATGTAGAATTACAGACTAATTGTCAAAATTGTAGCTGTAAGAGTAAAACCTCTTAATGTATTAAATATATTAAAGAAAGTATATGTTAAATTAATAATAGATCATTCTGGTCCTGATCTTATAATAAACTATATTACAGTTATCAATCAATCTGAGGAATTTCATCAGACACTAGAAGGATTTGCCAATTTGATCTTAAGAGGATTGTACCAATTTTGTTGAATGCCTGCCTTTCAGACTGCTTTATTTCACTCCTACCAATGTCTATGTTAGAATTCATAAAAATATTTCATGTGTCTTTATATAACCTGGCATTTTTGTCCCCGCTAGAAACAATTTCCTATATGGAAATTAAATTTCCTTCATGAATAAATCAATTTTGCACAATGTGAACTTCAGACGTCACAAACAAGAGAATCCATAGAAATGTGTTGCTGTGCAGCTGTGCATGGGAAAATGATCTGAAATTATGATTTGGATGCAGTTTCACGCAGAAAAAAAAATCATGGCATTATTCTGCATGGTAAATTAAATTACCCAAAACATATTGCAATGTGTGACACAAAACCTTGGCCCCATCAAGAAAAATTTCTCACTTCAACTTGCTTGCAGGTGCAGCTGGACCCCTATTTAAAGGAAGTGGGCAGACGGGACTTCCTGTCATGGCCACACCCACCACAGAGCTAGGGGCGGGGTTGGGGCGGAGCCAGGAGGGGAGGGGCAGCTCCCTACCTTTACGACACACGCTGACCTTCAGCACCCCAGTGCCCAGGCAGTCTCCGGGTGGCACGCAGAACCCAGCGTTGGCGGGGTTGTCTTCAGGGCTTGCAAGCACTTCCAGCGGCGGGGAGAATCGGTACGCCGGTATGCCCTTGACCTCCACGTCCTTTTCAAAGTCCACGTGGATTGACCTGCAGGTGGGGAATCGAATGCCATCAGAAAAATGCACGCGTTTCTCAAAGGAGATCCTTTATTAAGCTCACCATAAAGTCAAGGGCTCAACAGCTTGAGATCAACAATACATCCAGATGATTCTCTTCCACCTTTCTTTAGATCCGAAGGGTGGTTTTGATTCTGTCAGTGGTTGCGAACTGTGGTTAGCAATGAAAAGGAGAAAAACACCATGCAAGAGAAGCACTGCCAAAGAATGCAGGTAGATGGCCCACAAAGTGAAGAATCAACCACTGCTCACTACAGTGTCCATTAAGGCCTACTGGTATTGTTGCAGCCCTGCCAGTATGAGGAAGCAAGACTATCTTGTCACCATGTTTCATGAGACAAGTGGTTCAGAAATCAACCACAGGCAACAGACAAAGATCTCCATTACAAACCAGCATCAACAGGGTACAAAGTGTTGAAGTACCGCGTGAATGTGGCTTTCAAGACTGCAAGGAAATAGCTCTTTTAGTATCAAAAGAGACTGACTTGAATTTGTCAGACAACTGGAATCGTGTCTCATGGTCAAATGAAGGGGAGATAGAGGTTTTCGGGACTACAGTTAGCATTAATTTGCCACTCACAGTGGAATATGGTGGTAGGTTTATTACATTTGGGGGGAAATCCCCAAGATGCCAAGACATTTAGACCAAACACCTTGTTCCCTGCTGAAAAAGTGACATTCCAGCATAAGAATATTGATCCATAATGATCAACTGCTAAACCAATAAAGAAATGGTCTGACTGCACACATAATAAATGTTCTTGGCAGGCCACCTCAGTCCTCAGTCCCACTGAACCTTGATGGTTAGAACTCAAGAACACAGTTCACAAAAGAAAACCAAATGAAGGAACTCGCACTACAATTCATCCTGGCCACGATCCGTTTTTTACCCCTGGGTTCTGGTAGGAGGTCGCAGTATCAGACCACTTACCAATAGATTCAGAAACAGTTTCTTCCCCCAAGCAGTCCGCATCATAAACAGCTCAAATTAGCACCTGCACTTTAAGGTACTGCACTGTTGGCACTATGTCCTGTCTTGGCTGTATTATAATGCCTAATGTCTAAATTTATTGTCCGTGTCCGTTTTTCATTTCTGCCTATTTTTTTTTCTCTGTTACTGGGTACTGCTGAATGAGTAAAAACTCCAACACACTTGTTGTATATGGAAAATAATTCAAGATTCAAGATTTTTTTGTCTCGTCAGTGTAATCCCTGCCAGAGGAGGCTTTACAAAATACAAAGTACTGGTCCAGGGCAGTCAATAAATGTGACTCTTGTGTTGTCTGGATTTATTGATTTAGAACAAATATCATTTTATTAAATACAGGATGACTTTTTCATAACACATAATCCAAACTAAATCATTGGGTTATGTTTTTTGTTCATATTTCATCGGGGGTATGAAGAAACCTGGAGGGAACGGAATATAACATTTTGTCAAACTTTATCATGAAGCTGTTATACGAAAAGTGAACTAAATGTGAATTAACTTTATCTTCAGTCTAAACCACAGATGAAAAACTAACTCTTCCAGTAAGTGAGATAGTGCCTCATTACAGTACATATCTCCACATGTGGTTTCATAGCTGCTAAATTTGTGCAATTTAGGAATGCAGATACCTACCACTCCCTTTGACAAGAGTGTGGTAATAATCAGTTTCTGCAAATATCTGTTTTTATCCTAGTACGCAAGATTTTCCCCCCCTTTCTTCTTTGATGGCTTTCAACACATTTGACAGCTATTTTGTGTTTTTTGGATAGCAAATAATAATTACATACTCCCATATTTTCACACACTATATTTTCATGTGTACCAAAAAAAAAGATTAGAGGAGGGCAAGAACATTAATTCGAGACCTTTAAGAAATCTTTAAGTTAAAGGAACTGAAACTATTTCGCTCTGAACAGAGAAGACGTCATACAATTATTTTAATTCCTGGAAGGTACTGACAAAGTCAAGTCCAAAATTTACTTTAGAATCAAAACTGAAACCAGGACAGAAGTAGAACTCAGGGCATTTAGAACTGGAATCAGGAACTATGTCTTTACAGAGAAGGTTGTGGAAATGCTTTCCTTTTACCTGCAGTATATTAAAGTGCAATGTACCAGCAGTCTGAAACAGACAAAGGGATCAGGACATTCCATTCACTTGGAGGACCAGCATGGAAGGCACAGATGGAAACTGCAGTATTAGCTAAGGAAATACAAAGGTCAAAATACTTTGGCATATGAATTGAAGTAAATGACCCTTCAGAATATTTAGTTGGAAGGTCAACTGTATAGCAGTGAGAATTACCTTCCTACTGCAACAAAAAAGAGCTATTTGCCATGTGAGAAACTAGGTGAAAGTACTGTAAGAGGCTACTTGAAAATCATGTGAGAGCTGTCCATGGCTCAGATGAATCCAAGAGATAATATACTGCTACAACAAATACTTTCCATGCAGAATAAAGGGCCATCAAATTCATCACCGCCCAAAGCAAATATTTGGCCCAAATCCCAAATAGAAACAGGACCATCACTAAAATCAAAAACAAGGTCATTACTAGGTAAAAAGTCACACTGAAACCAGTGCAAGGGTTAGTCAAAGAAACAGTTCAGTAAGTAAGCATGCGCATTAAGAGACTGAGGTTAAACTGCTTCTGAAAATCACTTCCATTTTTTTCCCCGCATACAGCTGTGTGCAAATTGCAAATTTACCTCCGACATGGTGCCATTTTTAAGTTGGAGCTCTGCTCCTATAGCACTACAGATGTGTACTTGTCTTTAAAAGCCAAAAAAAGCACTGCCCGGGTCAGGTCTGGCAAGAGACTTTACTTCTAATAGACCTGGAGAGAAACGGAGGGATCATACAGCATGCCTGTGAAATTCTATCATACGCTGTAATCACTTTAGTCCTAGAGTCTCCCATCAGGAGTTTCTGCTGCTGGAGGCTCATACACCCGCTGGTTTTCACTGCAGCGGAACTGGATTACTACAGAACTACAGCAGGACACTTTGGGGAAATGAGGCTGTTCATGTTTTATAGATGGTACTTCACGACAAAAAGTGACACTGTGCCCCATCATCACTTTTCAAAATAATCCTCACTTCATCATGCAGAATTAAACACCGAATTTAATGCAAGTCTGAACTGAAGTGAAGGATAGCTGCATCTGCTAATGGCTTACGCCAAAATGAAAAAAAAAAAAGAAATAAATAAACGAGAAGACGGCAGAGCAAGGCGTACCTGCACAGATCGGCAGCAAAGATGAAAAGCGATTCATTCTTCGATATCAGCGGGTGGAAGGCGCCCCCATCTGTGCCGTTGATCATGTTGCTCTGGTTGGAGGACCACCACTGCATCGTGCTGAGGAAGAGAGTGTCAACCGGGTTAACGCACCTCTCACAAACGAAGCCCCCGCTTCAGTGAAGCCCTAACCCACCCACCCAGCTGCTGGAAAAGAGGTCAAATGAAGGATGATGGTATGGATGGGGAATCAGACTGAAGTGTATACCACAGTAGCACTGAAACACACAGTTGTAGCACATAATGAATTGGCTACATTAATCTGCTCTCCTCCCTACTGATAGCTGATGTGTGGTGAGCGTACTATGGTTGCCGTCGCATCATCCAGGTGGGGCTGCACATTGGTGGTGGTGGAGGGGAGTCCCCATTACCTGTAAAGCGCTTTGATTGGAGTGTCCAGAAAAGCGCTATATAAGTGTAAGCAATTATTATTATTATTACATAAAAAAGCAAACCATTACTGGCTTTAATTTAGCCCGGCGATACTGAAGTAATTAGTTTAGAGCACAAACACGGTGTTCCATGACTTTCTGGCAGCTAACAGACGTCCAGCAACATTTCCACAACACTGGAGAAGACTTCTTCAAGGGGTAAAATGTAGTGTAACTAATTGAGGAGGGACCTTTACTTCCACAGAGTCTGGGACACCTGCATGGGATTCAATACTTTCTACTCAGGACCTTTTCAATTCAAATTCAATTTTAAGCTAGATTCATGGCAGGAGATGGCAGGAGATGGTGGGCCAATATTTGCTCATGTCGCAAATCCAGTCATTTAACAAAACCTCTATACGGGATCAGCACTCTATAAAAACAACCCTCTCTTTCGAATATTCCTTTTTTCTACTACAAGACATTTCCACGTGGTACAAGAAAGTTAAGAATGCCATGCAAGATCCCTAACTTAATAGACGTTGACGTGCAAAAACTTTAAAAATTAAGCTTTATAGGTCTTGAAGAGAATTTCCTATAATCATCTTTTTAAACAGGAAAAGAAGACAGCTAGACGGTAGTCAACATCAAGCCCATCATGGGAAAAAAAAACCTGAACAATTTCCTCTTTTTAGCTGCAGCCCGAGAGGAAAGAAAATGTGCTGCAAAAGCTCTTTGGTGTCCAAAGTCTCTGGTTACTGGTCACAGCACAACGTGGAAGAGCCTCTTCTTCTGGCCACGCGCCACAGCCAGGGAACATCTTATCTGCATTTCAGAATCTGGCTATAGGCAGTTTTATACAGTATGTGGGTTTTTTTTTAATGAAAAGCTAAATGTCCAAGTATGTTAAGACAACGGTTACCTCAGATGTCCAACAGAGATCTGAACGCACTGCCACACTGGAGGGAGGAGGATCGAACCACACAATCCGAATAAATCTCAACGTCACCCTTGATCAAACTGCAGATGTACTGGCTTCTGCTGCAAGACATCTTTCTACACATTTGTTTTCTAAAGAGGCACATAGGGAGGGATTCCAGTGGTTCTTGACCAAGGCGTGCTCTTGGAAATTGCAGAATTGGGTCCTGGTGTATCCAACATCTCCCAGCTCATCACAATTCAAGTGTAACAGCTGCAAGGCTGTACAAGTGAACCACAAGAATGGGCATTGCTGATACTGATCATGAAGAAGCAAACTGTATCAGATCAAAGCATTTTTGCAGGCAATGTTGTCTGACCCTAAACAGCGTACATAACGGTTTAAAAACTGACCACCAACTGCTAGAATACATACTAGGAAGTCAGGAATTTAAATTTCCAGGCCTTAAATCAACAACTTTGTGAAATGAACTCTTATCTGCTAAGAGATCTTCAAAACAATTTAGGCTGTATCTTTTTTTTAAAAAAAAGCCTAAAGAAAGTTAAGTCTGAGAAAGTGTAAATTTCCTAAAACTGATTAGATATACTGTACTTAACCCACAGTGAGCATGGATATATTGTATGTTTTTTTTATCAAATAAAATTTAATTGAGCATCCGGTAAACTGTACATAAGAACATAAAAATATGAGATGCAAAGCCATTAAGCCATAAAGCAGGCTGGGTCCTACAGGAGAGAAGGGAAGGTTTCAGATATGTTTTGCAAGAAAAATGAATGCTTATTCATCACGGTCTCCACTCCTTTACACAATAGGATCCCTTGTTTGTGCAAAGCACAGCAAAAACTAATCTTACTGTAGTTTAAAGGGTTCTAAAAGAACATAGTGTAGTGTAGTTCAGAAAAAAGGGATCTGAAAAAGTCAAGTTTAATACAGTACACAGGGTGTCTAAAAGGGTTAACTAAGCTGATGAATGACCTCTCCTCTCTTTATTAATTCAAGCATCAAACACATACCAACAGGTCGAGGTAAAGTAACATGGGCACATCTCAAAACGACATGGGACTGCTTTTAAAATGAAAACCAGGAGGGTTATGGGAAAACGGAACAAGCGACCCAACCATGACGATGAAACTAACACCCTGGCTTTTTTGAAAAAACACCTGGGTGGGATCCCTGGATCATTGGAGAAACTAACCCGCGAACGGAGCCTGACAAACAAAATGGCCTCTTCTCCTCTGAAATCATAGTCCAAGCACTGACAGATTTGTGATCCCAGCCTAGATACACAGAAACTTAATTCTTTCCAGCAACACATTGCTAAAGAACAGAATCAACAGCCTCGTCTGTGAAGTGAAGAAAATGTAAGTCTCGGTCCGTGCATCTGGGACAAGAAGATATGTACAGAGAGGAAATACCAAACAAATGAGAGTGGTTCTAAGACTCATGTATTGCTGTTCTAATGTTCCGAGCAGCATCGCCATCCCTGCCACTCTCCAAATCTTGTTACGAGTGTAGCACGTGTAAATAACTATTATTTTCGCTTGCTTTAGTAGAACCACGTGGAATGTTAATTGGCCACTTGACTCGTGTATTTCAATCCAGACATTCTGAACCAAATCAGAATATAAACCCTGTATAGCCTGCAGGGACATTTGCCTTGTAAATCTCCCCCATTTAAAAAAAAACTGTCACCGATGGAGCACTTAAACAGCTATTAGTCCTTATCCATTTAAACTCTTCTGTTGCAAAAGAGTAAGTCTCTTGACTGCTGACCCTGCACCAATTTGTTCTTTGCAGCTGAACAGTCTGGCTTAATGTTCCTACTGTTTAGTGCGGTCACATGCTATAAATGAATATTACGCTGTATATTACACTGAATACATCTTTACCTTTGACCGTTCCACGTAGCAATTTTCCCATAATCTCTGTAGTCTTCTTCTCCAGTGTGGAAAACAAACTCTCCTTCACTGGAACCGTTTTTCTAACGGGGGGGAAAAAAATGAACATTCAGTGGACTATGAACTAGTTCAGGCTCACCAGCACTCTTGCTCACTTTTACAGATTTACCAAGTCCAGTAATCTAATGGTTTCATGAAAAGCCTTAACAGTTATTACGCTGCTTTAAAAATGGACACTTATGACTAGCACCACCCTAGCTACAATAAAGAGGAGACTATTCTTAATTAAAACCCTTTCAGAACACGTTTTAAGGAAGAGTAGCAATGGCGCATAGCGCTTCCAGCTTTCGCAGAAAATGCCAATGATGGCCTTTCTGAAAATTAAAGCAACCTTTGAACAACACACTGATTATTAAGGAAAGGCGTTTATATTGTACTGGGGCACGAGAGAAAGGAAGCTCTGCCTTCAATCAGAAAGCAACCAGCTGCCATCTTCTGTCCCCTTTCTGTGTCCTCCTGACCAAAGGCCATGAAACAAGATCATGATGGGTAATCATTTTTTATTCTTTTGTTATTTAGAAGCCATCATCATGAAGACTTAAAATAAGCAAATCTATATATCAACAATGAAAAAAATCCATACTCCTCATCCTGCTGTATGGAGTACGTCAACACTTCATGTTACTGTGTTTGTCTCTTTTATGCTACTGCCTGCTTCACCTTACTCCACCTAACGTTTTCAGCCGTGTAAATGTTAAAAGACTGAAAACTGCAACAGAAAGACCCGCTTAAAATCACCAAACGATTAATAAGACAGACAAAATCACAAATTTGAAAAAAAAAAAGATACAGAAACTGCTTTTAACGTGCCTTTGTTGAATACAGACAATCGCAAATACCAGCCGTACCTTGTACATGAGCCCAAAGTATTCTTCTACCTCAGGCTTAAAGGGTTTGAGTCGCGAAAGAAGAGGGTCTTTGAAGCCCCACAGTATTTCGTTCACTGTGCGAGTCATGAACATCTCCACGCCTATGGAGGCCATCCACAAGGACACCATGGAGCTCAGGAGGAAGCTGGACTTCACAACATCCATCACGGCCTGGAGCGCAGGAGAAAAGAAAAGCGGGACAGCGCCAAGGTTATCCTGGGCTTCTGGATCCGGCTGCTGACAAACTGTACCTGCAGCTATTAAAAACGAGCTTTAGAGCAGGATCCTGAAGTCAAGAGGCTTCATGAGAATGGTTTTCCATAACCGTAACCTGCCCAGAAAACCACACTTTCCAGAGAGATGTGAAGTTACAGTCATGATCAGCTTGAGGCCAGCAGTGTATTCATCTCCAACAGAGGAAAACTAATTAATATCGATCAATTAGTAAAACGCCCGGTAGTTACAAAGGATGAAATGATTTTTCCTGGCCTCTTTATTGTCTGGTGTGTTCAAATTTAAATATCAGGACTTAATCCATACCGTAGGACAAAAGCTTAACAGGCCTTCCAAAAAAGATACACTGTGGAAATCAGGGAAAATTCTGTACCATTCAGATCTGTGGTTTATTAGATTTTAAATTCAGAACTATGGCCTGAAGACTGACCATCGATATCGAAGTAATGGGAGAAGACACTACTACTGCTGTTCAACATTGCAACATTAGCACTATTTGTCTACAAAGAGTACGCACATACGGTTAAGAACACTAAAGTATAACCTGCATGAAACTAGAAAAAAATATTAACCGATTAAAGAACACTTTGTTAGTTTTCCAAATGTGCTTTGGCTCTCAGCCTTTGAACAACCAAGCTCTGAGCCAGACTGCATCTATTTCACAACACCGCCAGTTTTTTTTAAACACTAAATGGGTTCCACTTCCTCAGTGTCCAACAGTGAGCTGGGTCTCGCTTCGCAGCTACAGGACCAAGGACAGGAGACACTCCAAAGGTTTTGCAACAATAAGTAATAAGAAATGAAGAAACACCGATGATCTCCACATGCCTGCCCCGTATATCCTTCGGACCAGCGATTCTCCGACTGCCTTTTTTTTTTTAACAACTTGTCAATGATGGGTTTCAAGGCATTTTGACGTCCTGAAAGCAGGAATTATGCAGAACGGGCTTTGGATGTCAGAAAAAAATTTAGATGCTCAGGGCTCAATCTAGGCTGTAGGTGGGTTTGATGTCAACAGTTCAAACCCACAAAGTGCGTCTTGGCCACCCCTAGCCTTGGGAATAGGTGCATATGACCCTGAGCAGCAGAGCACTAGGCCCAAAAGTCTGAATGCTTATTGCAGTTTTGTAAAGCATGTAATCTGCTAGCACCACTCCTTTTTCACAAACCCTCAAGCTGCACTGGCTGGGTGTTGGAGCCCTCCAGACACACCTCACCGGACTTCACACTCTGGCAGCTCTTTTAACTGTATTCCAATGGGAAAAACTTCTTTCTTTAGTCTTTGAACAAGAGCAAGCAAGAGGATACAGAAGTAGGAGCCTGTTCTTACCTGCTGATTACATCCATAGAACCTACAGCTTATTTAAGGTTTGAGCACACAATGCAATGCATTTTTGGTGCCTTTACATAAAAAACAGTTTTGCATAAACATTCCCGGGCTATGACAAATGAGTTTCAGCGTGCGATTAGCATAACAAATGCCTAGTACCATTTTTCCTTTGCAAATAGCCCTTTTCAGACTTACAATGGCAACCTAATCGTATTTTCATGAACTTAAAGACGCACACTGGGACCAAGGAAGCCGTGACGCCGTGTACCGCTGGAAAGTACACAACTTTACTTGAGAGTGAATGAAGGGGTTGTAACCCGCTGTTACCTCCCCAGCTGAAACAGCATCAACTCTTGACATACGCAGTGCGCGGTGTTAAAATGAAAACATCCGTATCCTGTACAGAACGCGGAACACAGCAAGGCTAAACAGAAGCGATGTGGAGGGATCCCGCTGAGCACAGGGGTGCGAAGCCGATCGCCCCTCGAGCACGAATGCTGCTGGGGTTCCCACGTTCCCCGACGCACTGACGCCCCTTACCACGGCTGGGATGTTGACCGTTGTCAGGCGGTCAGTCTCGGGGTCCCCAGCTGACATCTCTGGAAGAAACACGAAAGACTTGGGGTTCAAGGCGGAGACCTTCGTTCCGTTATCCACAAAGGTTACGTTCTCTCGCGGCCTGTACTCCCTGAAAGAAAAAAAACAAAAACAAACAAACAACAAGATTAAACCTTGATATGAATTTTTACATCTCGATATCACTTGCACAGTTCCCCCCCCCCACCAAGGACACAATTCTGGAGGGAGAAAAGGGCTGGAAAAAACACTGGTCTGCAACACAAGAGACAATTTGAACTTCTGAAGTTTTCTAGGGCTCCAGAAGTGCAGTTGCACACCTTGTCTGGTGGGGTAGTGAGAGGTAGCCGTGTCAGAAAGCCAGTCTGTGTCTCGGCACCAGCAGGGAAGGAGGGAGAGCGAGAGCTCATAGTAGCAAAGGATTGTTCCAATTTACAGGCCTGTGAGACTCAGTAAGCTAGGCAGGCTTGAGAAAATACGGCCCAGGCCCAGCACAGACAGGCTGAGCGGTATTGGGGTTGTGGCTCTTGCCAGGGAACAAGGTCAGCTGGACCAGGAGTGGGGTATCACTTGGCCGGGTAGCAGAGTACCTACTCCCCACAGGTAAGCCAGAGGTGTTGATGGCACAGGCTGAATCCCGAGGACTCCCTGTGCCTTATCATCAGCAGACAGACAGGAGGTCTCAGATTGTGAGGCCAGAAAGAGTAAAACAAAACAACAAAACGGCTGATTCTGTGTCGGGGACACAAGCGTTGGCTGTAGATAAGCAGCCAAACAGTATCAACCGGGGAAAACCAGAGATCAGAAAACATACTGATTTTAGTAAAGACCCGGGGCTTCGAGAAGACTGAAAGTGAAGAGGTGTGCTGGAGTGATAAAGGAAGTCAAGGCTGACAGAACAGAAGGAGTTGGATACTCCAGAGCCTTGGGATTAATGTAGACAAGCGAGGAGCGCCAAGTTAAGACCGGCCAAGAAGGAAGAGGACTGTGCAGGATGTGGATAAGCTAGGAGAGAGGCCACTCACTACACGAACAATTAAGGTGACACGCTGGCAGTTTTGGGGATTGTGGCGATGTGTGCCGGCGTTTGAGACAAGCATATTTCGCTCATAAGCAGGCCAAGTGACCTCGGTTTAACTTTTATTTCAAATTGATCCTGGAACTTTGATATTTGCTTTGGGATCTTCACTGTGTATTTAACCCACTTCACACACATTGAAATTCAGGTACTGTAAATCTAACCTGGACTTTGGAAAACCAGTGGAAAATGTGAGACAGCCAATGGAAGTTTCAAATATTAAAATTTAAGATGCAATTTTATTGACAAACGTGATGTAAATGCTACTTATTTACAAAGTCAAATAAAACGGTATTCCCTTTTCAATTAACTGTGCCAATCATATGGCAAATTGAAATAATACCAATTAGCAATTATTCCTTGCACACACTTCTTACTGAAATCCAGCCTTTTGACATACACAGCTGAGTTCTCACTTGCACTCAGTTTCTAAATTAAAAGAAAGGAGCCTATGACAGTGTGCAGCCACTACCGTACTGTTTAGCATTCAATACAGCTTGCATTTGGACTGACATGCATTTCGCAGAGCGTCACTGGAGAAGTTCCAGGAATCAACAGTATTTACATCACTTTGTGTTCATCTGTACCATGTTCTCCCTCACAGTAGGATAAAACAGCACTTGTACGTCTGTATTTTCGTTCAGTATCTTCACAAGTGAGCCTCAATCGCCGTTCTGAAATCGTTACAGTGCCCATTCAGCACTGCACACTCCCACCGGGAGGGAAGAGGACAGTGGTTTCACAAGACAAGATTGGGAAACAAATTCAGACAGAACTCGTGAAAGAATCTGCAATGAGCAGAAAAAACAGGACGTGGGACTGCAAATGTTTTACCAGGAATAAACCCACTGAGATAAAGACACAGAGACATGAGGTGAGCGGTCTGCCTTTAAAAGTGAAAAACAACCTGCACAGCAACCGACAGACACAGAAGATTTTTTTTTTAATAGTATGTAGACCCTTTATAATTCATCAGTAAAGTCCTCAAATTGGGGAATTCCACTACCTGACTTGAGGAAAACGTTCTCTCTTTCTTTTTTCACATGTAAGGAAGTTGTAGCGCGAAAGAGGCTTCCCTTTCGAACTGGCTAACTGGTCGTCCCCGTGCCTCCTCAACGTGTACAACGGATTTGCGCTTGTTCCTCACCTGTACGTGTATGGGCCGATCTGGGTCACAACAGGTTTCCCGCCCTTGAGAAACACGTCAGGGTTCGACACATTGAAGAAAAAAAACTGCATGTAGACAGGAGGAGGGGGGTCCTTCCACGATTCAAAGACATCTTTCCCCTCCGTCAGGGTGATTTCCTGCAAAACAAAAAAAAAAAATGAAAGTCAGTTGCGAAACGTAGAAAAATGAAGCAAAAGACAACTTTGTTTCTAGGCATGACCTATTTTTTCCCTCAATTCTTCGCTTACCCTTCCACGGACGTTAAATACGACCGGTTTGCTTGGGGAAGGGAGGGCGGAAACAAGACACCCTATAAAATCAGAATAATTGCAGCTTTCAGAAGGCCTTTTGTCCACATGCTTTTCCCCAGGTAGTTTACGGAAAAAGACACAGCTTGACCCCCGGGGGTCTCAGATTTTACACTGACCTGCGCCGCATCGCCGGTGTGTATATATATATATAACTCGTACAAACTTCGAATGAAGCACAAAACCCTTAACTTCGTGAAAGTGCCGCAAACCGCCATGTTGTCGCACAAACCGCATTCGAGTTCCCAGGAATTGCGCCGCGATGAGGCCCTTCCTGCTAACTAGTCCCTGCCCCACGTTCCAGCGCGACCTGTATGCGGCTGACGCGTAAGCAGTATTTGTCGGCAGGAAAAGCGCCTCCCAGTTGAAGGCAATACTTGTATGGGATCAAACGAGCAGTACTCGCAAGCCTGCTTGTTGACGGTGTAAATCGGGCCGCTGCGCTTCAGCGAAGTTTTGTTGCCTCGTTCTGAATCACGGAATAGGGTGCTGCGCGTACCCGGAAATGTCATCTATTTTGTGAGGTAAACTCTACACAGAAACTTGTCAATTTACTGTTACTGTAGTCTGAAATGCACTCCTCAGTGCTGATTCCCATTTAAGCAGCTGTTTCACACTACACTACACCCCTCAGCTTTGCTACAGGTGTTGGACGTCTTGTACCAGTGGACTGCCTAAAGACTCCCTTCTTTCTGCAGACACAAAAAAACACATCTTCAGCAAATCCCCACCCTCAGCCACCGCCTACAGCTTCCCCACATCGTTTGAACAAGATCCAAGAGGTCCATTTAAGTGTGTTTTCATTTGCTGTCTTTTTGACAGCTTCCTTGGGATATGATGGCTTAAACCAGGCAAGATTTTATACAGTCGAAAGAGTTGTACACGTCTGTGGCTATATCTCTGGTTACATTACTTTGTACATTGTTTTCTCAACCAGGGTGCCAGCTTTCAAACATTCTTGCTGCCTCTTGTGGTAAACCTTTAGAAAATGTAACAAGATTTAGGCTCGGCCTTGGTGCAGACAATGTCTTTATTGACTGTATTTTACTGCAGAGAGACATGGATACCAGTCTCTATTGTTCTGTTGTAAAATGTCTCATGATAATTCACCGTGAAAGGTACTATGTGACAAATTATGAGCACGTTTCTCTCTGTGAGAACATCAATTTCCATGCAACAACTCTACATAGGCATACCAAGTGCATAAAAGTGCAAAATTCAAACAAGCTCACCTGAGAAACTCGCTATTAGCAAAATATTATGCTGCATACAGGTCTGGATAGCCTATTTTTGAATTTGAATGTAAAGAGATGTTACAAAATTTTAACCATTATACTTAATACATTAAGTACTTCCAGTCCTCAGCTGCTGTATAAATATTCTTACCTAAACCCACATAACCTGGAACATTTAGAAAACAAAAATGAAAACTGTGCTAGTTACAGCTGGAAGACTAAATAAAGTAATAAAGAGTGGGCTGTTTGAGAATCCAATAAACTCCGCATTTTATAATCATGTATGGATCTGCCACATGACGAAGTCAGAACGTGACCTACGTTTCCCAGAAATGGGAATGTCTTCTCCGAGAGAGGCAATGGACTAGTGCAAGATGCTAATGGCATACAGTACAAACTGTACCTAGGGCATACACTAGGACATACAGGACACTGTGGAAATGCAGCAGAACATTTTTGCATTTAGTTTTGCATCAGACCCAGAGGTCAGTGTGAATGTTAATGCTTGGCCATACTCAATGGCTGGGATTAAACACAGTCCAGAAGACCCTAAGGCTCTCATAACAACACAGGAAAAGCTACAAACAAGAGGAAGACGCCCAGCCCGCCCACCTGACGGACCCGATGGACTCTTCTTGCTCTGGAATACAGCCACTGACCTCCAGGCAAGACCAGCAATGTGCACGGTACTATAGGCCTTCGGCTATAGAAATGCAAAACAAACTGAACTTGTTTGTGACTCCTCTGAACCTATGAGACCCCTACATGTCAGCTCTGCATCAACTGTTTGCGTACCCCTGTTCGAAACTGAAGAGCTGTCCTGCTGCGCTCATCCGCAGAGCAGGCCAGTGAGCACGACCGTCCACACCGCCAGTCTGACACCGGCACTCTGATCCCAGCGGGCACAGTTAAATCACTACCGGGCTCATTTGAACTACAACAGAACATTCCCCTTGAACACGCAGCGTGACATCCATTGCTTGTAAACAGCTTAATATGTTTTTTATTAGCGAGTCTCTGAAACAACGAGCACACTGCCACACCAGAGAGCACTACACATAATGTGGCCAAACTAGCCGAAACATGGTGAAAAACAGCCCGCTCTAAAAATCTCTAGCAGGGAGTCTTTTGAAGGCAAAGTCCCAGGTTGAAGTTTATTCTAGAGCTGCATTATCAAACAGGAGTTACTGCGTATGTTTGACAAAAAGATAAGAACGTGAAAAAAAAATATAGGTCAAACTGCAAACAGTTCAGAGCTCATTCAGGAGATTCTGTAAGACGACTGAAACAGGGCTATAGCCTAGGAAGCAGAGCCCTTTCATAATGAAAAGGTTAAGCCATCTGCCTTAATTGAGCCGATGTTCCACAAGCTGAAACTATGTAGAACCGAGAAGAGGAGGAACTTGTTACACAAAGGCTTGAGGGACCACAGAACAACTATCGTCTTCTTCCTCATACCCAAGTCCCTTACACACTGGAAATCAAACGCTTTTTTTGACACCAAATGGCCTCTTTTCCCCTGTAACCTTTTTTTTTTAAGCTCAGAAATATTTACTTGTTTTACCAAAGACCCTTCAAGTTATCCAAACCACGGTAAGGGCTGTGGACACAGAGCCAGCGTTGGCAGATCCGAGCTATTCCGAGGGCGTTCATTACCGGTAGTGAAAACATGAGTAATGCTCTGCTTGAAACGATGGAACAGAAAGAGTTCCCAAAACACTCCCTGACCCCGACATAAATGTGTATGCCGATATGCAGAAGCTCAGGGAATCACACTCACCATGAAATCCTACAGTCACAGAAGACCGATCACACGCACTGACAAATCGTTCCATCGTTTTTTATGTTAAGCAACAATAAAAGCCTTCTTTGCATGATCTCCTGTATGTTATGTACACATTTGTGAACGCTTAATGAGCAGTTCTGTCTGAGAATGCACGTGCTGGAAACATATGACTCCTGCACACATGGTCAGAGTGTGTGTTGAGAGTGCACTGTCATTATCACGTCTGCAGATACAAGCACTACATAAATACTTATTTTTTTTCAAATTCCTTCATATAATTCCCTAGGGGACGAGCCGTGGCTCTGTGGCTTAGGATCTGCACCTGTGGCTGGAAGGTTGCTGGTTCAAATCTCGCGGCCGGCAGAGGAATCCTACTCTGTTGGGCCCCTCAGCAAGGCCCTTAACCCCAACTGCTCCAGGGGGCGCTGTACCCTGTATAAATGGGTGATCCTGCACTCTGACCCCCAGCTTCTCTCTCCCCGCCTGTGTGTCTCATGGAGAGCAAGCTGGGATATGCAAAAAGACAAATTCCTAATGCAAGAAATTATATATGACTAATAAAGTGATCTTATCTTATCTCTTATATGCAATGAACACTTTCCAGCTCCAGCAAAGCATTTGCCGATTCACAAACACAAAGACAGTGGTTAGCAGTGATCAAGCCAAGTTAACAGATTAAACAGACCCCCGAGACCTATACACACAGGTACACTCTGTAAGGGAAGTTTCAGTTATGCTATATCGATTTTACAACTGTGCAACGATCCCCTAAGGTTTCAAAACCATTTACAAGCTATGGCAGTGGCACCATTAATGAACAGAAATGATCCGTACAACTTAGAACACGCCTGAGACACTTGATATCAGTCAGTGATCATTTCTGTCATCAGAACAGAAAGGCAAAGGTACCACTACTTTGTAATTTGTCTGACACTTCCCCAAAGCAACTTACAGTACCTTTGCACCAATTTATACAGCTGGGTATTGTCCTGGAGCAGTTTTACGTGACGCATCTTGCTCACTGGAACAGCAGCAGTGTCCCAATTGGGATATAAAATCCACAGCCTAACAGTCACAAGTCCAGGAGGCTCCACACTGCTGCCGAGCGAAATATTGAGAAATTAACAGAATAATTTTTCTTTTACGGAAGGTTACGAAAAGCACAACACTGCTGTTAAAACTGCCCATTGGTAGATCTGTGTAGTACATGACTACACCACGAACATGAGAAAATGTCAGACCAAAAAAAAAAAAGAGACCTGCCAAAATCCAAATAACTCGACAGCATAATTTTGAGAACAAAAGCGAACAGCCTTGTAAAAGTGATGGGACAAAAGGGTAAACTGACCAACGCCTGTTTGACAGCCCATGTCTGGCCCATGCACATGAAACATAAAAACAAGTTCCCATACCGACAAACATCTACAACAAAACAACAATTAAACATGCACTTGAGTTGCATACAAAACCCTCCGTGAAAGAACTCCAAAGCTCAAGAGGGGCTGAGATCAGCATGTTTTTAAGACATCAAGGTGCAGTGAAATAAGAGAATTACAGTAAGTTAGTGATTGGTCTTAACAAGTGCACAAAACAAATTCTCTCGCTTCTGTGGCTGTCAAATTCCAGGAGTCACATTTCTAAGATTCAGTCATATAACACCTGCCTTTCAGGCGTGTTTTCAGTGCTGTAATTTCATAGCGGAAAAAAAAAAAAGCTCCAGCAGGAACCACCCATTCTTTAAGAAGCTGAACCACAGGATTTTCCTAAGTGGTTCCTCTACCAAGAACTTGGCCATGTGGCACTGCTCCATTAAGCTCCTG